ACGTCACATTCGACGAGTCCGTCTTCTTCTACACTCACTTCCCACACCGAGATACCCCCGTGATCCCCCTGTTGACGAGAAAAGGCCATGTCCTCGCTTGGGCGAAGTCGACTTCGCTGACCAGGCTTCGTGGTCGGCGTCGACTTGGAGGAAAAAGTCGACGGGTTTGGTTAGCCGACTTAAACGAAGCCGTCCATATTGAAGTCGACGTGACGCTGGTCGACGATGTGAAGTCGGAGGATGGCGTCGAGCCTCGATAGTCGACAAAGGTGGTCGTCGACATGGCGCCGACCTACGAGCACCGACCGACCGTCAATCGTCGACGCTGACTTAGCTGCCTTTTTCTAGTCGACCAAGTGACTGGCGGCGGAGTTATGCGGGGGCGCAAACTTCGCTCGAGGCGGTTTTGGCGAAAGTCGACCCACGGGACGAGCATCTCGTGGTCGACAACCTGGCTTCTCGCAGTGTGCATCACGCGCACGACGTGCACGCAACCGTATGCTGTGCAGACCTGCACCTACTTGGTAGGTGACGCACATGTGTGCACTTGTTCACCTGCGATTGCAATGTTAGCATGCCATTTTGGTGCCACGTTGGGAAGCAGCCTTGTTGCAGCGTTGGCACGCCGCCTTCCATCTGTGTTGGCATGCCACATTCCTACACCGTTGGCAATCAGCCTTCGTCCTACGATGGAGACCGACTTGCTAGGTTGCTAGTGTGTTTCTCCAATCTCATTCCTTCACGAAACTCTTGTCAATATCACCTACGAGCACAACAAGTGGTGCAAATATAAGCAATGCTCCGATCACCCCAAACAACCCGTGACCTCCAACGTAGTTCACCTCTCGTTGTAAAGTGACTCTCCACTTTCTGTTAAGATAAGCTTAGTAGTGCCTAGGGTTTGGGTGCTAACAACTATCGAGAGTAGAAGGGAGGAGGGGTTTCATTATGGAGCGAGGAGTAGATATAGCAAACATAGCATGGAAAGGAGGTACACCACCTACAGCAAAGGATTGCATACACTACAGTCTACACTGCATGAAGTTATATTCAAACACACCCCCTAACTGTATGCAGTGGATGACCACGTGCAGCAACACCCCCTGAAGGGGTTCACAAGGCGCAGCGAAAGGAGAGAGGGCAAGTGAGGAGGAGGAGGAGGGACCATGAGAGGAGAGGAGGTGGTGGGAGGCGGCTAAAGCTGCTGGCATACGGGCAACTGGAGCAACTGGCACACGCGCAACTGGAGTAACTGGCTCTGCGGCTAGACGAGCAGCTGGAGCAACTAACTCACAGGCGATTGGAGCAACGGGCTCACGAGCGACTGGAGCCGCTGGCCTCACGACGGCCACCCCCCTTGAACCTCCCCAAACCTCCCCCCCACAGCAGCAGATGTGACAGAGAGAGACAGGGCAGTCAGGGCAGGCACGGCAGGCAGGGCAGACAGGGTAAGCACGGAAGGCAGGTGCGGCTCAAGGCAGGGGCGGCTCAGGGCAGGGGTGGCTGGAAACGGAGAGGAGAGAAGGAGGAGCGGTGGCTGGTGCTGAAACCACACTCCCGCCACCCCCTCACCCTCCCCCCCTACAGCGAAAGGCGCTGCAAGGAGAGAGAAGAGGAGGTGGGCAGCGGCTGGCGCTGCAAAGTCCCTCCCGCTACCCCCTCACCCTCCCCCCCTCAGCGTCAAGAGCTGCAGGAGGGCGGGGGGCAGGCGTTGCAGTTGCTGTGACGCGGCTGCTGAGGCACTGCCGCTCCTCCCGCTGCCCCCCCCCCACTGCGGCATACCCGCCAGGATAGCAGTAGCGGGGGCGGCAGCAGTTGGCGCAGCAGATGCGCTCGCGGCAGAGACAATGCCGCCACTCCCGCTGCCTCCCCTCCACTGTCCGCCACCCCCCCAACTTGGCGCGAACATGGCAGCAGGCGCAAGCGCGGATGGCCCTGGCGAGAGCATGGGTGGGGCGACGGGGGAGGGAACGGGGACCTCCGTCGCGCAACGGGCAGGCGCTGGAGACGACAACGGGGAGGTGCGACAAGTCGCGCGATGGGGCAGGCGACGGGGGGCGTGACATCTGCCGTGAGAGAAGGGACACGCGGTGGGCCCATGGGGTAAAACAATACGTCTAGGAACGACCTGCTCTTAATACCATGTTAAGATAAGCTTAGTAGTGCCTAGGGTTTGGGTGCTAGGCAACTATCGAGAGTAGAAAGGAAGTGGGGTTTCATTATGGAGCGAGGAGTACATAAAGAAAACATAGCATGGAAAGGAGGTACACCACCTACAGCAAAGGATTGCATACACTACAGTCTACACTGCATAAAGTTATATTCTAACACTTTCCTCACTACCACTACCCCCCCCCCCCCCCCCCCTCCTCCCCCCACAGATCCTACTCCTCCACTTGCTCCCTTGCCATGCGTCCCTCGGTTGGGCGTGTAGGGGAGTCTGCAGACTCTCGTGGCCCGGTACGTAGAGTGCGCTCAGTGTGTCAGCCCCTTGAACGCCTCCCCCTCGCCCCCCGCAGTCGTTGCCGCTGTCTCTGCCATCATCAGCGTCGTCCTCGCAGTCGTCGCAATAGCCTTTGTCGCCGCCGCAGCCAGTCGCTGTGGACTTGGGGGTTCCTGCGCTTGGGCATGCCAATTTTGTTGTTGCTGTTGCTGGGGGTGCAAGCTCTAGGGGTTCTGGTTCTGGGGGTGCTGGTTCTGGGGGTGTTGATACTAGGAGTGCTGGCTCTCGGGTTGCTACCATAGGATGTACTAGTACTGGCGGTGCGGGCGCGGGACGTTCGACGCCGTATAAATTGTTGCCGCAACAACAGCCGCTGCTGGATCCATCGTCGCCACTGTGCCTGCGCTTCTCTTTCTTAGTCTTTCTTACCCCTCAACTGACCGACCACCTGCTTCCCCCTCACCGTCTCTCCCGCTCTATGGTCCCACATCCCTCCCCTTGTCTCGTCTCCAGCTCGTCCTCCACCTTCACAGCTGTCTCCCTCTGTCTCCTAACCCGAATCCTGATTCCCACCACTCGATCCGTCGTCCCTCTCGTGCTCGTCCCGTGTCTCCCGTTCACTGTATCCACTCTATGCTCCTCCTCGTCCCTCTCGTATTCCGCTACCCTCTGTTCTCCCGTTACCTCCTCCGTCGTCCCTTACAGTCTCCTCTCCTCCGTTCTCTTGATTTCCCTATGCCCCTCGCCCTACAGTCTCTCGTGCGCTTTCCTCCTTCGTTACCGACCCCACTGTTCCTCTTCCGCCAGTCGCTGAATTTGCCTCCACCTGCCGCCTTTATTACGCCATTCGGCTGATCCCTGCTCTTGCCCGTCCTTCGTCCGTCAAGGATGACCTAGAGGACACGCAGTACGAGATTGCTTTCCTTGCGGCCGCTGCTCCTCATCTCAGTGTCATGCTGCTAGCCTGAGGGTGACTCATAATATATTGACATCCCGACTCCTCGCACCTACGCTGTGGCAGTCTCGGGATCCAGTGCTTCTCAGTGGATACCAAACATGGACGCAGAGGGCATCTTGAAGGTCCACACGCACTTACGTCGACGCAATTTCATCTCCTGAGGCAAACACAATCGATGACATGTGGATCCTCAAGGTGAGGCGGCCACCCGCAGAGCCGCCTGCCTTCAAGGCACGCTACGTGGTTTGAGGTTTAGTCAACAAGAGGGGTTAGACTTCTTTCAGACCTTCCCCTCCACACCGAAGAGGGATGGGGTTGCAAGTTATTAGCCCCATCTAGCCACGTGACAGTTTTATACATTTGAATACTTTGATAGTATGTTCTAGAGAAATTGAGTCCTCTTTTGGGACATCATTTTTGGTAGATGAGTTCTGAAAGCTTGTCGTCCGCCGAGTCGTTGACGCCAAGTCAGCCAAACTCCCTCGCTTGGCTGGGGCTGACCAATAACATCCAAAGGGCTTCGTCGTGCTGCCAGCCCAGTCACCAATCGTAGTAAAACCATGTGGTTGGAAGGCCCCCAAGAACGACCCTGCGAAAGAGTGTACGACTTCAGAAAGCGTACTCAGCGATGTCGTAAGGTTCTTCGCTGAGCTGTCGAATGCTGCTTCGCTCGTACAAAGTCGTCCAGTCTACCTTCGCGTCGCAGTCCATCGTACACGTAGTCGTAGCACGTCGTCCCGACGACGAAATTGGCGGGGAAACCGAAGCAGAGTTTCGTTGCAACTATTCGCGCCAGAGTCAGTTTCGTTCTTCCTCCTTTCGCAAGAAACATCATCTTTATCTGGCGCCGCCATTCCACAAGACCATCCGTGAAATTCGCGACAGCGCTTTATCTGCGCGACCTGCGCTAAGTGGCATGCGCATGAACCGCTAATATAGATCTAGGACGACTTGCATTTCCATAACAGCCGACAGTGGATGAAGAGAAAGCGTGTAGGATAGGGGCCGTTCTTCGCCAGTTGCACATTGCTTTAGGAGGAAACGAGTTCCGCAATTAGGTTTGCTTCTTCTAAGCACCAGCCTGATGATTTATTCCTTCACTGCGCGCCGTCCAAATTGCTTCGAAGACCGTTACGCTGGGAACAGCCTAAACCGCGCAAGCGGGGTTGCCATTCTTATCGGCGTTTTCCACCTCTCTGTTGCGGCCATTCCCATTTCGAAAAGGTACTGACGAGTACTTCGAGCGCAGGTGTCACCTTGGAAGCGCAGGTGCGTGTTCTGGTTGAATTGAATCCGTCGCGGCAACTTTCGATTGATTCTCGCCCGCGTTCCACCGCATTGTTGCTTTAGAGATTCGATACGCTGTTGGTAACCCGCCGTGCGAGCAGTAACCGCGGGTAACCATGTTGCGAACATCATCCCCACATTAACCCGGCGTTCCGCCTCCGTCATTCTGTCCCTGCTACACCACCTGCCGTTTCTCTTTTTGACGGAGAAAATCGTTTCCGCCTCAAAAGTAGTTCCGCCTCCGTCATTCTTTCCCTGTTCCACCACCTGCCGTCACGCGCGCTCCTCTCCCCTACCGCGTCTCTCACGGCCATGATTTCGTTCGACCCGCGTGTGCGTGCGCGCGGTGCGCGCGAGTTCCCCGCGGCCCGCAATGAGTCGTTCCCCGCCCTCCCCTCTCCGCTCCCCTCAACCCCGACCCCCTCTCTATTCCCCTTTCCCCCTCCCCCTCGACGCTCCCCTCAAATCCCCCTCTCTTCTCTGCGCGCAGCATCGCGCCATGAAGGCATTCGAGCTGCTGGGGCTGGGCGCGCAAGACACGGTGCAGTACGCGCGGGTGGGGGAGGTGGGGGGCGACGGCGCGGGGGACAACGACCACGATCTCGATCCCCTCGACCACGACAGCCACAACCATGCGGGCGGTGGCGCGCGGGGGAGCCCGCCGCTGGGCGCGTCCGCGCGGGGGAGTCCCCCTCCGCGGAAGCAGCAGCAGCAGCAGCGGGTGCCCGGGATGGTGTTTAAGACGGAGGCGGCGCGCGCTGCTGCTGCCGCGCTGGATGAAGAGATGGCGGGGGGAGGGGAAAGGGGAGGGGAAGGGGGAAGGGGAGGCGGAGGAGGGGGGAATGGTGTGGGGGAGGTGCGGAGGCCACGACAGGCTGCTGCTGCGCCGTTGTGCTCTGTGAGTGAGGGAGTGAAAGGTCCCTGCCATCCCCCCATCCCCCCTCTCCTTCCCCCTTCTCCTCTCTCACCATAAGGCCACCCACCTGTCTCCGGTTGCTCGTTACTCCCTTTCTTTCCCTCTTTCTAACACGCTGGAAGGAAGTTACCTTCGTGGTTGCAAAGCCTAGCACTTTCATTACAAAAATGTAAAAAAAAAACGGTCTCCTTCCCTGTCTCTCACTAGAAGGGCACCCGTCTCTGGATGCTCGTTTGTTCTCGCGCTCTCCCTTGCTCGAGCGAACCCTTTCTTATAGCCAGTCGCCTAGAAACTGGTCCCTGGCCCTCTCCCCCTCTCCCTCTCCCCTCTCTCTCACCAGAAGGCCACCTGTCTCTGGGTGCTCGTCTCTCTCGCGCTCTCCATCACACTCACTCAGGTGGGTGGATAGGTGGATGGGTGGGTGGGTGGGTGGGAGGGTGGATGGGTGGATGGGTGGGAGGGTGGATGGGTGGGAGGGTGGATGGGTGGGAGGGTGGGAGGGTGGGTGGGTGGGAGGGTGGATGGGTGGGAGGGTGGGTGGGAGGGTGGGTGGGTGGGTGGGTGGGCCAGTGCAGACCACACTGGCACCTGGCTTGCAGGTGTTTCAGGTGGGTGCAATTCAAGTCAGCGTTGTGTGTATGTGCGTTCGATGATACCCAGGCTTCTTTTAAGTCGACTCAGGAAACGGCACGTCTTCCTTTGCCTTTCTCTATTGACTCTTTACCATGTCTCACTGTCTTTCTCCTCTTCCTCCTCTTCCTTTTCTTTCTCCTCCCACCTTGTTCTTCTCTTCTCCTCCCTCGCTCCTCCCCTCCTCCCCTCCTCCTATCCTCCTCTCCTCGCTTCCTCGCGTCCCCTCCTCTCCCTTCTCCCCAACCACAGCTCCTTATGGGCATGTGTGGCTACAACCTTCGCTTCAAGGGCGTATGGGTCACTCTCGTCTACGATGTGAGTAGCGCCGCTGATGAACGCTGATGTGAGATGGCTCAAATCCTTTCCGTCCTCTACCCTCCCACGCTGCTCCTGCTTTGAGATGGTACAAATCCCGCTGCTTTCATTGCCCAGGTGGCTCACGGTCTAGTGCACACTAGGATCACTGTCTGTCACCCATCCTCTCTTCTCCCACATGTAGAGAGGGTGTTTTTGAGACGTCTCAAAAACACCCTCTCTACGCACAGCACACTAGGATCACTGTCTGTCACCCATCCTCTCTTCTCCCACATCCCCTCCCCTCCCTTCCCCTCCCTTCCCCTCCCTTCCCCTCCCTTCCCCTCCCCTCCCCTCCCTCTCTCCCCTCCCCTCCCCTCCTCCCCTTTTCCCTGCTCCTTGTTCCCCCCAACTCCGTCTCACCCCCCCAACACAGCCCAGCACGCGGGCACAGACAACAGAATCGGTGGCGAGTTTGGAGCACAGCGTGTATGACGAGTCAGGTGCGGATGCTGACGTGTCAGGTGCGGATGATGACGTGGCAGGTGCGGATGGTGACGTGTCAGGTGCGGATGGTGACGTGTCAGGTGCATGCGGATGGTGACGTGTCAGGTGCGTGCGGATGGTGACGTGTCATGGCGTGGCTGGCTTTGCATGGGTTAAAGTTGTATGTCATCCATGCATGCACTGTGCACAGCCTGTACTCACAAAGAACTGCCGTCACGTCACCCGACGCACAGGCAGGCCGGTGTGTTCCAGGTTGAACCTTTTGCTAAGCGTTTTCTCACAAGTTCGCTGCTACTCCCATTATGAATCTTGATCCGGAGTGTTCCAGGTTGCGTTGGACACGTTCGAGGAGGAGAGGAGATTCGCGACAGCGCTCGTGCAACTGCAACCTTCTTTCCCCTTTTCTCCCTTTCCCCCCCTTACCACCCCACGCGCGCACTGGCAGGAGTGTTCCAGGTTGCGTTGGACACGCTCAAGGAGGAGATTCGCGAGCTCCCAGCCTCTCCACGTCTGCAACTCTGACCTTTACTCCCATCCGCCCCCCTTTCCGCCGTTGTTGCATTCCACCCCGCGCACGCACGCACGCACGCACAGGCGTGTTCCGTTCCAGCCAGGTCACGTTGCCTGCCTTGTGCGGTGGAGGAGGAGATTCGCGAGGTGCCTGCCTGCCTTGTGCAACCAACCACAACAACGTCCCCACCCACCCCCCACCTTGCTCCTCTTTTACTCCTCTACTCCATCTGCTGCTGCACCCATGGCACTCCACCCCACGCACCCCACCCCACACACCCCACCCCACGCACCCCACCCCACGCGCCCCACCCCACGCACAGGCGTGTTCCAGGTGACGTTTGACACTCTAGAGGAGGAGATCCGCGAGCTCCCAACCTCCCAGGTTCTGCAACCCCATCCTTCCCTCCCCTCCCCCCCCTCCTGCCCCCTCTCCCCACCCCACGCACAGGCGTGTTCCAGGTGACGTTTGACACGCTGGAGGAGGAGATCCGCGAGATCAAAGACCAGCTCAACGGCAATCAGGTGGGTGCTGGTGGCGGTGGGAGCTTGTGGCGGTGGGAGCTGGTGCAGGTATATCTGTGTCTGATCGTCAACACGCTTGTGAGATCAGGGACCAGCTCAACGGCAACCAGGTGGGTGCAGATGGGTGCAGGTGGGTGCCGATGGCTGCATGGGGTGTATCTGTGTCTGATCGTCAGCACAGAGTGAGATCAGGGACCAGCTCAACGGCAAGCAGATGGGTGCAGATGGGTGCTGCAGGTCAATGCAGGTGGCGAATCTTGGGGGGGTTCCAGGCGGAAGAGCTGTCGTCGTCGCAACATGAAAGGAGGGGGTTTTCATCCTCCTTTTTGAGACGTCTCAAAAACACCCTCCTTTCACGAGTCTTGGGGTGGTTCCAGGTGGAAGCGCTGTCATCGTCGCACGCAACACGAGCTGCTCCCCTCCTCCCCTCCCCCACTCCCCGTCCCGTGCCTCATCTTCTCCCTCACCACCAGATGCCAGGAGCCAGGAGCCAGGCCAGCAGCGCCAGCCCCTCCGGTAGTGCAGCTGGCGAGTCTCAGGGTTCCAGGTGGAAGCGCTGTCGTTGTCGCAACACGAGCTCTTACCCTACAGCCCTCCTATTGCCCGCCTCCCACGCCCCCATCCCGTCCCCACTCTCTCATCCCATCCTCCCTCTCCCGTCCCATCCTCCCTCTCCCGTCCCATCCTCCCTCTCCCGTCCCATCCTCCCTCTCCCGTCCCATCCTCCCTCTCCCGTCCCATCCTCCCTCTCCCGTCCCATCCTCCCTCTCCCGTCCCATCCTCCCTCTCCCGTCCCATCCTCCCTCTCCCGTCCCATCCTCCCTCTCCCGTCCCATCCTCCCTCTCCCGTCCCATCCTCCCTCTCCCGTCCCATCCGTCTTCTCCCCTTTCCATCCCCTTACCTCTCCTCACCTCCACCCTCACAACCAGAAGTCAGGGGCCAGGCCAGCAGCCCCCGTCCCTCCAGTGGTGCAGCTAGCGAAGCTGAGGGTGCAGGTGGAGGAGCTGTCATCGCGACACCTTCTGCCCTCCTTTCTCCCCCCTCTTCCCTCCCCCGTCTCACCCCACATCCCCCCCCCTCACCACCAGAAGACGGGCGCCAAGCCAGTAGCCCCTGTGCTGTGCTCCCCGTGATTTGACTGGCGAAGCTCAGGGTGCAGGTGGCAGAGCTGTCATCGCAACACGCCCTGCTGCCCTATTCCCAGTCTTTCCCCTCTCTCCCGCTCTCCCCATTGCTCATTCAGTCCCTCCCCCTCACCACCAGAAGACAGGCGCCAAGCCAGCAGCCCCCATCCCCCCCGTGCTGCAGCTGGCGAAGCTCAGAGTGCAGGTGGAAGAGCTGTCGTCGCAACACGCGCTGCTGCCCTTCCTTCATCTCCTCCACTCTCCCTCTCCCTCTCCCCATCTTCCATTCAATCTCCCAACCCCCACCATCTCCCCCCCTCACCACCAGAAGACGGGCGCCAAGCCAGCAGCCCCCATCCCTCCAGTGCTGCAGCTGGCGAAGCTGAGAGTGCAGGTGGAAGAGCTCTCGTCGCGCACGCTGCTGACCCACACGGCCCCCCTCCCCCCTCTTTCCTCACCATCTCCCCCCCTCACCACCAGAAGACGGGCGCCAAGCCAGCAGCCCCCATCCCTCCAGTGGTGCAGCTGGCGAAGCTCAGAGTGCAGGTGGAGGAGCTGTCGTCGCAGCAAGCCCTGCTGCGCGGGAAACTGGACTCTCTTGTTGCCGCCGCTGGGGGGGGAAGTGCTGCTGTTGCTGCTGCTCCTGCGGGCGCTGAAGGGAGTGGGGCTGGTATAAACAGCACGGGTGGGGTTGCTGTGCAGCAGGCGGTGGGGAAGCTGCTGGAGCCGCTGAAAGCGAGGGTGCAGCGCGATGAGGAGCGGTTGAGGGCGGTGCAGGAGAGGGTTGACGTGGTTGAGAAGGAGCTGGCGGATAGCATGGAGGTGCTGCAGCAGCTGCAGGTCGAGGTGGTCACTGGGGGCAAAGGTGAGATCCCCCGTTTCCTCGCTCCCTCCCTCACTCCCTCCTTCTCACTCTCCCTTACTCTTTGGGAGGGTGGATGTGCTGGGAAGGGAAGGGAAGGCGGATAGCTCAAAGGCGCTGCAGATGGAGGTGGTCACGGGGGGGAGAGGTGGCTTTTGAGTCGACTCAAGTTGACTTTTGAGTCGACTCAAAAGTCAAGAGTCGACTCAAAAGTCAGCTCGGTATAATGTCACACGGAAGGCGGATGGCTCAAACGTGCTGCAGCAGATGGAGGTGGGCACGGGGGGGAGAGGTGAGAGCCCCTTTCCTTCCCACTCATACATAAACTCTCGCTCGATCAACTCTCTCGCTCGATGTGACTTTTGAGTCGACTGACTTTTGAGTCGACTCACAAGTCACCTCGTTTTGAGTCGACTCAGAGGTGAGAGCCCCTTTCCTTCCCACTCGTACATCAACTCTCTCCCGATTCACCTTTTCCTGATTAACTGGCGAATAGCAAGGGCGTGCTGAGGTGGTGACTGGGGGGAAAGGTGACCCCTCTTCCTCTCTTTCCCGTCTTGATAAACGCTCTCCCAATCCAACTAACGCTCGCCCTATTAGCTCTCTCATCAACTGGCGGATAGCACGGAGGTGCTGCAGCAGCTGCAGGTGGAGGTGGTGACGGGGGGCAAAGGTGAGATCCCCCTTCCCTTCTCACCCTTTGTGTGCCTTTCCCGATCAACGCTCTCCTGATTACCCCTCTCTTGATTAACTGGCGGATAGCACGGAGGTGCTGCAGGTCGAGGTGGTGACTGGAGGGGGGAAACGTGAGAGCTGTACTGGTATGTCCATTCGCCCTTCTCTCTCCTCCCCTTCTCCATTCTCCCGCCCTCTCATCATCCCCTTTTCTCCTCCCTTTCACCCTTTCCTCATCTTTCATTCTCCATTTTCCACCCTCAGAATCCAGTTTTGAGGCGCCTCAAAACTAGACTTCATTCTCCATTTTCTACCCTCAGACCCCCTCCCTCCAACCCACTCACTCACTCGCACGCACCCTCAGTCATACCAGACCCAGCCGCAACATTAGTTGCAGCACATAAAAGCCCCTTCTGTGAACTTTATAAAGTGACTTCAACAAGTTGCAGCACATAGAACCCCACACGCACAGAGCTTTCAACACCCTACAAACCTGCAGCGTCAGAGGCTCCCTTTCACTCTCCCTTTTTCAACCTCTCGTTCTCCCATTTCTCCTCTTATTCTCCCTTTCGTTTCCTCGCCTTCTCTCCCTCCTCCCACCTCACATTCAGTCACGCCAGACCCAGCAGCAGCATCCGCTGCAGCAGCAGAAGTCCCAACCACCACAGCACTTCTAACACCCAACGAGCCTGCAGCGGTGGTCACTCCCTCTCATGCTCCCGTTTCTCCTCTTATTCTTCCTTCCCAATCTCGTACCGTTTTCCCCTACTCCCCTCCCACCCACCCTCTCAGTCACACCAGACCCAGCAGCAGCATCCATTGCAGCAGCATCCGTTGCAGCAGCAGATATCCCAGCCACCACAGCAGCGCTTGCAACACCCAACGTTCCTGCAGCAACAGTCATTCCCGCATCAGACGAGCTTGCAGCAGTTGTCATCCCAGAGCCAACGGAACCTGCAGCAGTTGTTGTTCCACCACCAAAGAAACCCGCAGCAGTAGCAGCATCAAACGAGCCTACCGCGGTTATTATCCCAGACGCAAGCGAGCCTGCAGCGGTTGTAATCCCAGAGCCTACGGAACCCGCAGCAGTTGTCGTTCCAGAAGCAACCGTACCCGCAGCGGTTGTTTTTCCAGCACCAAAGGAGCCTGGTGCCGGCGCGGTTGCTGTTCCCGAAGCAGGCGAGCCCGCAGCGGTTGTGGTGCCTTCTCCAATCGAACCTGCTGCGGTTGTCGTTCCTGAACCTGCAGACCCTGCAGCGGTTGTTGTCCCGGGTCCCTCTGATTCCACCCCCGGTCCTGCTGCTGCTGCTGCTGCTGGTGCAATGGGAGGGATGGGTGGAGGGAAGGAGGGCGAGGCGGAAGGGGAGGAGGAGGAGGAGGATGATGCTGACTTGGGCCCTCCAGAGGATTACCCTGGGGAAGGGGATGTGGGAGAGGAAGGAGAAGAGGGAGGAGAGGAGGAGGGAGAGGAGGAGGGAGGAGAGGGGGAAGCAGGGACGGCTGAGCAGGTTGGGAAGAAGAGTGCTGGGACTGCAGGGGAGACAGAGGCGGGAGGCGAGGAGGAGGCGGAGGAGGAGGGGGAGGGGGAGGTGGGGGAGGAAGGGGAGGAGGAGGGAGAGGAAGTGGGGGAGGACGAGTCACCAGCAGTGGGAGGCATTGATGTGGCAGAGGTGCAGCAATGCGGCGATGAGGTGAGATGATGGTGATGGTGATGGTGATGGTGATGGTGATGGTGATGGTGATGGTGATGGTGATGGTGATGGTGATGGTGATGGTGATGGTGATGGTGATTAGAGTGTGTGTTTTGGCATTTTCATTTCTTCCCTCCCTCCTACTGTCCCACCGTTTCTGCCTCCGTTACTCTTTCTCTCTCCTATTGTCTCCCCCCCCCCCCCCCACCCCCCCCATTTCACTTCCCCCCCACTCATGTTAAACATCCCTCACAACTCCTCTCATCCATCCATCCATCCATGCCATGCCATGCCATGCCAGACTCTCGACCTGCCACCAGAGGCCAAGGCATGGGAGCAGCGCGTTATTCTTTCAAACTTCCCGCCTCTTCCCTCCCCTCCGCCTCAACCCTCTCATCCCTCCTCTCCGCCTCACACCCTCTCATCCATCCATCCATCCATGCCTTGCCAGGTGCTCGACCTGCCAGCGCAGGCCAAGGCATGGAAGCAGCGCTCTCTCGTGCAGGTCACACCGGAGCTGCAGCTCTTCAGGTGAGCCCCTTTCAGCCCGGCAGCATTGTATACCAAGCCACAGCCCGTGTTCAGCCCTGCAGCCCCTTGTGGGGCTGCAGTGTTGACTGCTGACGCCTCCACCGCGCCTCTGGACTGCTGTCTCTTCTGCTGTCTCTTCTGCTGTCTCTACTGCTGTCTCTTCTGCTGTCTCTTCTGCTGTCTCTTCTGCTGTCTCTTCTGCTGTCTCTTCTGCTGTCTCTTCTGCTGTCTCTTCTGCTGTCTCTACTGCTGTCTCTTCTGCTGTCTCTTCTGCTGTCTCTTCTGCTGTCTCTTCTGCTGTCTCTTCTGCTGTCTCTTCTGCTGTCTCTTCTGCTGTCTCTTCTGCCATACAGACGGCTCGCGTCCCACTCCTCCCCTCCCTCTCCCACTCTCCCCCTTCCCCCCTCCCTCTCCTTCTCCCTCCCCCTTCCCACCCCCCTTCCCCATCTCCTCCCCCCTCCCTCACGGTGCATACCGCTATGGCCTGCACACCATAGCACTCATGGGTTAATAAAAGTGTTTTGAGACGTCTCAACACACCACAGCACTCATGGGTGTGCTACATCAAGACGTACCCATCGGGCCTCTTTACACCTGCCAATTCCGCCACACTGACCTTGAGACGTATTCACACCTTCTCAAAAAAAGAAAAATCAACACGCGCCCACTGCGCCTCTTAACACCTTCCTTTTCCACCACATTTTTTAGGCGCCTCAAAAGTAGACCTTGAGACGTCTCTCAGGAAACAGAAATCAACCGCCCACCTGCCTTTTCCACCACACTGCCTGACGTCTCACGTGCCCCTCCTCCCCTCCTCCACTCCTCCCTCCCCCGCTCGTGTTTCTCCCAAACCTCTCAGTGGATACCGCTATGACCCGCACACCATAGACGTCCCCACCGTTCCTCTTTCCACCTGCCTGTTCCACCAGACTGACGGCTCACATGCCCCTAATCTCCTCCCCCCTCCCACTCCTCTTCTACCTTCTCCCCCATCCCTCCTCCTCCTCCCTCTCCCCTCTGCCCCTCCTCCCTCCCCCGTCCTCCCCCACAGTGCATACCGCTACAACCCGCACACCATAGCACTCGTGGGCTTGCTGGCCCCAGCAGTGCCCACTCTCCCTCTCGACGCATGTCTCTTCCGCCAGTTAGACGGCTCACAGCCCATCGCAGGCTCGCTGCTGCGCCTGCAGGTGGAGGTGAGACGAGGCTGCTGGGCTGCTGGTCTGCTGTGTAGGTGGGGGCATGCATGGCATAGGTGGTTGGCTGCTCGCTTGGTCAGTTGGCTGTCTCTTCCGCCAGTCAGACGGCTCCCAGCCCATCGCAGGCTCGCTGCTGCGCCTGCAGGTGGAGGTGAGACGAGGCTGTTGGGCTGCTGGTTTGCTGGTTTGGGTGAGCTGGTGAATATGTGCAAGAGGGGCCACTTAAGGCTGTTTTTGAGTCGACTAAATAATATGTACAAGAGGGGGCACATAAGGCTGTGCGTTGATCCTCAGGCTCAGCTCAGCAGTGGTGCCCTGGAGTTTTGAAAAGTGACTCCACTAGGGCTGTGGTGCTCTAACTTTATAACGACTCCGCGATCCCCCCTACTCATCCACCCTTCCCCCCCCTCTCCTTCGCCCCTCACCTCCGCATTTCCCCCTCTCTCTCTTGGGTCCGCTGAACACCTCTGCAGTGGTGCTGAGGTTTGAGGGCGACACTGCCATCGCTCCTACTCATCCACCCCTCCCTCCCCTCTCCCCTCTCCCCCTTCCCCCTTTTCTCCCCTCGGTCCCCCCCTCAGAGCACCTCGGCAGTGGTGCTGAGGTTTGAGGGCGACACTGTCGTCCCCCCCTGTGGGGGCTATTTGGAATGCATGGCTGCTCAGCACTCTCCTTTCCCCTCTCCCGCCTCCCCATCCTCCCCCTCTCCCCATCGCCCCCCCTCCAGACCACCGCGGCAGTGGTGCTGAGGTTCGAAGGTGACACCGTTCTCCCCCCCTGTGGGGGCTATCTGGAATGCACTGCTGCTGCTGCTGGCGGGGCCAAGGTGGTTGTGTACACAGAAGGCCGCGGGGAGGTGAGTGAGAGAGAAAGGGTGCTGAGGTTTGAAGGGGACACTGTCGTTCCCCTCTGTGGGGGCTATCTCGAATGCACTGCTGCTGCTGGGGCTGGTGGGGTTGCTGCTGCTGCTGGTGGGGGTGGGGGTGCTGCAGCTGCTGGTGGGGCGAAAGTGATTGTGTATACTGAAGGCCGAGGGGAGGTGAGTGAGAGAGAGGGAGGAGAGGAACGGGGGGTGTTCATTCCTGTTTTATCTGGAGAGATTGTGTATGACGAGAGGAGGTAGGCGAAGGGGGAGGCGAGGTGAAAGGAATGTTCTTTAAAGGTGGGGGACGGGAAGTGGTTTTGTTGTGTACACAATAGGCCGAGGGGAGGAGAGTCCATCCTCCCCTCTTTCTGCTCTTCCCCACCCCTCCCCATGCTCCTCACCTTTCTATCACTCATAACAAACAGCGTCTTTTGTTCCTTGGCCCTTAGAGCTGGTAGTGTCATTGGTTTACAGAATGTAAGTAGGTCAAGTACAAAACGATCAGTACAGAAAACGACTCCACTGGGGATCGAACCCAGAATCTCTGGTTCCGTAGACCAGCGCCTTATCCATTGGGCCATGGAGTCACGTACATCCTGTTTTTCCTTGCCTTCCCCACCCTCGTCTCCCCCCCTTCACCCCCTCCCAACGCCCTTCACCATCTCCCCGCTCCTCATAACAAGCAGCATCTCCTTTCCCTTCTCTGCACCCCTTTCGTCCCACTCTTTCCTCCCTTCCACAGCTCATCACCCTGCCTTCACCCCGCCCCCTTGCCCCTCACCATTGCTCGCGCTCCCCCCTCTTCTTCCCCGCCTCTTTTCCTTGATTTTTTCTCTTTCCCCACAGCTCTCCACACCCCCCTCACCCCGTCCCCTTGCCCCTCGCCATCCGCTCGCTCCTCATAACAACCAGCGTTTCCTTTTCCTTCCCTTTGCCCCTCGCATCCCACATCTCCCTCCTCCCCTCTTTCCCTCCCTGCATCAGCTCTCCACCCCGCCCTCAACGCCCCCCACGCCCCTCACCATCTGCTCGCTCCTTATAACAAACGGATTTTTTTTTTTTTTTTTTTTTCTTTTTTCCGTTCCCTGCACTCCTTGCACCCCACGTTCCTTCCCTTCCCGACAGCTCTCCACTCACTCACCCCTCGCCCCTCCCAACGCCCCTCACCATCTGCTCGCTCCTCATAACAGCCGGTGTTCCCTTTTTCTTCAATGTACCCTTCTTGTCCCATTCTTCCCTCCTTCCTTAGCTCATCATGATCAACCCCATTTCTCCCCATCCCCTCCCCACTTTCCCTTCCCCACAGCTCTCCACCCCGCCCTCGCCCCTCCCCACGCCCCTCACCATCTGCTCGCTCCTCATAACAAACGGAGTTTGGCCGCCCCGCCTGCGCGAGTGGCTGGACTACCACCGGGTGGCGGCGGGGGCGGCGACGTTTGTCCTGTACCGGCACAGCAAGAGCCACTGGCCTACAGAGCTGCGGCAAGCCGTGGGGGAATACGAGCGGATGGGGATGGCGGAGGTGACAGATATTGTGGGGGCAGATAAGGAACAGGAGAAGGTACGTATTTGTAGCAATGGGGGATGTGGATTGAGAGGTGAGGAGGATGAGGGGAATGAGGGGGATGTTTGTTGTTGATGGGCACAGGGCAAGTGAGGCAGTGGGGGAGAAGGAGCGGATGGGATGGTGGAGTGGAGGTGACAGATATTGTTGGGGCGGACAAGGAAGAGGAGAAGGTGAGAGTCATGAAGCAGAGAGGGAGGTAGTGAGGCAGGAACACAGGGCCAGTGAGGCAGTGGGGGAATACGAGGGGATGGGGATGGCGGAGGTGACAGATATTGTTGGGGCCGATAAGGAGCAGGAGAAGGTGAGGAGACAAGGGGGATGTATGCTGTTGCATGAGAACAGAGCTGCGCCAGTGGGGGGATACGAGCGGATGGGATGGCGGAGGTGACAGATGTTGTTGGGGCGAACAAGGAGCAGGAGAAGGTGAGGAGAAGGGGAGGGTGAGGAGATATTGGGGATGGTGTCGCTGTAGGAGGTGAGTGATGTTGCGGTGGAAGGAGATGGTTTCAGCGACAAGGAAGAGAAGGTGAGGGAGGTGAAGCAAGGAGGGAGATGGTGGTGGTGTGTGTGTGTGTGTGTGTGTGTGTGTGTGTTGTGGTGGAGGGGGATGTGACAGACAGGACTGTCTCTACCGCACCTCCTTCTCCTCTGCCTGGACTCTCCTCCTCGAGCTCCACGAGTACCTCTCCCCCTCTCCCCCTCCGTCCTCCGTCCCCTCCGTCCCCTGGATTCTCCGTCCTCCATGCCAGATGCTCGCCCTACAGGACTGTCTCTACCGCACCTCCCTCTCCTCTGCCTGGACTCTCCCCCTCGACCTCGACGAGTACCTCTCCTCTCCGCATCTTCCCTCTCCTCCCCTCCTTTTTTCCACTTCTCCCCTTTTCCTTTCCCGGTTTTCACCTCCCCCTCCCACACCCTTCCCTCCACCCTCCGCCCTCTTCCCCCCTCCCCCTCCCTTTTTTACCCCCAACCCCCACGCCAGATGCTCGCCCTTCAGGACTGTCTCTACCACACCCTTCCCCCTCCAATCCTTTCCCCTCCTCCCCTTCTCCCCCCCCCCTCTATTCCCTCCCCCCGTACCCTCCCCACACACACCCCAGATGCTCGCCCTGCAAGACTGTCTCTACCGCACCTCCTTCTCCTCTGCCTGGACTCTCCCCCTAGACCTTGACGAATACCTCTCCGCCTCGCCCCCCGCCACCCTCCCCTCGCTCCTCTCCGCCTCCTCCCTCGCCGCCTCCCCCTACCTTTCCCTGGGTGCAGTGCGGTGGAGCACGGAGGTGTGTCTGGGGGAGGCAGATGTGGTGAAGGTGGAGACGGAGGGGATTGGGGGGGATGCAGGAGAGGAGGATGATGCTGCTGCTGATAGTGGCAGGGGAAACAGCAGCAGCGGTGGTGCTGTGTTTGCGGTAGAGAGGGCCGTGTTTAGAGAGGCGGCTCCTGTGTGCAATGCAGAGGCGACAGGAGGAGGAGGAGAGGTGGATGCGGCATTGTGTGAGGGCGATGCGGGCACGCGACGAGTCATTGTCAACCCGCGCAAGGTGGGACGGGATGGGGTGGGTCGTAGTGGGGGTGGGTGGGTCGGTGTGGGTGGGTCGGAGTGGGGGTGGGTGGGTCGGGGTGGGTGGGTCGGAGTGATTTTTGAGGCGCCTCACCTAAAAATCACCCCAATGCTCGCGTGATGCGGGCACGCGGCGAGTCATTGTCAACCCGCGCAAGGTGGGACGGGATGGGGTGGGTGGGTGGGTCGGAGTGGGGATGTACAGTGGTGGTTTGGGAGGTAGGGGAGGTGGAATATATTGAGAGGGTTACGTTGAGCGAGGGGGGTGAGGGAGGTGGTAACGCTACCAGCACAGAATGTACCCCACTCGCCCCTTTCTGCCCCCCATCCCCTGTCTGCCCCAGGTGGCCCTCCTCTCACTCCACCACCCCATACCCCCCAAGGCCGGCGCCCCACTCAACGCCAACACACAGGAGCGGGTGAACTGCTTCTCGGGCCTCTCAAGCATCAAGCAGGCGGGGCGGCTGTGCAGCAGCGAGGTGCCGCAGTCGAGTGACGCTGCTGCCGCTGCTGTGGACGCTGCCGCAGCTGGTGCTGCTGCTGAACTCGCCTCTTTCTTCTCCCCTTCCCCTGTCCTCTCCAGGTGGCCCTCCTCTCACTGCATCACCCCATACCCCCCAAGGGCGGTGCTACTTTGAACGCCCACACGCAGGCGCGGGTCAACCGTTTTCCCGGTCTCTCAAGCGTCAAGCAGGCAGGGCAGGTGTGCAGCAGCGAGGTGCCGCAATCGGGCGATGCTGCTGCTGCTGCTGTGGATGCTGCTGCTGCCGGTGCCCCGAGGGGGTCCGTGGAGAGCCTAGAGGTGGCTGAAGGGGCGAAGCTCGCCAGAGAGTGTCCCGTTGAGAAAAACAGAGAGGTGAGTTGGATTGGCAAAGCAAGGGGTAGGTGTGGGTGGGGCATGTGAGGGGGGGAGGGGGGGAGGAGGGAATGAGGGCGGCTGTGCAGCATCGAGGTGCCGCAATCGGGCGACGCTGCTGCTGCTGCTGTGGATGCTGCAGCCCTCGGTGCCCCGAGGGGGTCGGTGGAGAGCCTAGAGGTGGCTGAAGGGGCGAAGCTTGCCAGAGAATGCCCCATTGAGAAGAACAGAGAGGTGAGTTTGACTGGAAAACGGGGTGGGGAGGAGGAGGTGGGGCAAGGGCGGGCTTCTAGAGAGTGTCCCATTGAAGGTGGGACAAGGCCATGGCTTGATGACAGGGAGCGGTTCAGGGTGTTTTTGCGAATCCTCAAAAACACCCTGAGGCCGTGGCTTGATGACAGGGAGCGGTTCAGTGCAGCGAAAATGGTGTATGGGTGAGTAGGGGCCAAGTTTCATACATACTGATATCTGCTCTATCTTATTTTTTTCCCTGGACTGTCTCTTGCACCGTTTCTTATCTCAATTCCCCGGTTCCCTTGTTCCCTGATTGTTATTTTCTTCCTTTGCTGCCTGTGTCAACCGCATGTGACCGCATGTGTGTGTGTGTGTGTGTGTGTGTGTGTGTGTGTGTGTGTGTGTGTGTGTGTGTGTGTGTGTGCAGTGTGCCGTTTCCTTCACGCCGTGACATCCATCCTGCACCTGAGAGTTGACACACACCCAAGAGCACACCTTATCACAACCCAACTCATCAACGCTAATCAAATCTGATACTTGAGGTGACGTGGACTGATCTGCTTCGGAGGCGCCAAACGCTCCAGAGACACAAGCACATCATGCTGACATGGCACCCACCATGCTGACGTGGTGGCATGGCTCGCACCATGCAGTGGTGCTCATGTGCAATTCAGTGGCAAGGTCTGACAGACAGACCTCTATGTAGCCCACCTTCATTCGTTCGTTCCCTCTAGCCCTTGACAATGCCTGAAACACCTACCCCAATATACCGGTATCTATCATTGTTTCCCTACTCTAGCAAGCCTGGCCTGACCCATAGCAATTGGAGTTTTTTTCCTACACTGCTCTTATACGTTATGCTTTCTAGGTTGTCCATGCTCAAGGCCATGACTCTAGCTTTTAGCAGTAGCCACAGATTCTATACTTACTCTTGAAGATTCAGGACCTGTTTTTAGCACTGGCCTCTCACGTTTTTTCCTAAGCATTCCTATGATTGTAAGAGGGATACAGTCTGGGCGAGCGAATATGTTTTCTTCCAGATGAATCAGGGCGCCACGCAGGGAGGTGTTTTTCTGCTAGGTGGGGGTGAGAATGGTGGCGAGATGAGAGAGAGGCAGGACGGGTGGGAGTCAGTTACAGGGAGAGGAAGAACGAGGCGTGGGACAAGGAAGGAAGGGGGGAGGAGATGGAAGGGGTGGGGGACTATGAGACCTGAGACGGGACGCGAGGAGAAGGGAGGAAGGGATATGGGAGAAAGGATATCGTATTCCATTTTAACCTGAACATGATGTACAGTAGTGGTTAGGTTAGGTGCCCCTTAGATCAACGCGGCGGCGCTTCGAGAATGAACGGATCCCGTGATTTCGACATGATCTCCGTGGTACAATGCACGAGGACGGATGGATAACCCGTAGTACTGCAGTATGCGCCGGCTAGTGGTAACGTCCGCTTAGCTCAGTGAGGATCACACTGCCCAGCACCGACACTGCGAGTGGAGCGGAGAGCCTCTGTCGGTGTGCGGAGTAGACTGGAGTTAATCGGTGGAGGTGTCTTTTAGGGTTTGGCGGGTTCACAGCAAGGGTAGGGAATGAGATGAGGACCGCCTGACGAATCGCTTGGTAACGGCGGCAACATTACACATCGGCCGTTACAAGCGCCGTTTTCCGTCGGTCCAATGGAACGGGGCGTATTGCTGCTTGCCTTGCCACGCGCTGGAGCACCTGGAGCGCGAAGCGCGGCAGTGCAGTGCAGCGCCGCTGATCGAGGAGCTCTAGACGACTAGGTCAGGGACAGTAGATATGGTAGCGGCAGTCCAGTGGAATCGCCGGGGGAGTGGGTGGGGAGGGGGGGGAGACTTGTCTGGAGAGCGGTGCGTTCGAGTGGTGGATTCTCGAGCCGCCAATTGTGTGGCCCAATTTAGGCAAAAGGCCAAGCTGCATCGTCGACACCGAATCGCGTGGGGGTGACTGTTCGTGGTGTCTAAATTCGGGTCATGGGCCATGGCGCTTGTAGTGGTGCCAGCATGTCTAGATCCAGCTGGCATGTTCGTGCGCGGCCGAGACGCGGCGTCAGCATCAATCGATCCTTTCAGTTCAGGCAATGGTAACCAGCTGGATGACATTCGCGACATCATAACATTTTCGCGGATTTTCGCCAGCAGCCAGAGTCACAGTGCAGGTTGCGCTAGTTACGCTAGCAGATCTGGCAGCACTGCGTACGTGCGATCCGCGTGGCAGCATTTCTCCTCACCACCTTTCAGCTTTCAGTTTCCTCCGCAGAACCAAAGCTGATCTACTATCACCCGCATCTGAACGGTTCAGCTTCAGTATAAGTGCTCGATGCATTCCCACGAGAGTGGTTATCTGCACATGGACTCCACGTTTCGCAGCTTGATCACGAACATTGCATTTAGCACATCATAAAAATATTCTCTTCTACACTCCTCGTCTATCACAGAGTGGTGTACACTACGCATACTCCCTTCCCAGAAGCGCGTGACTCGGGGTCCGAACCGCATTTCTGATGTGCAATTTTCGGTTCGAGCCAGGACACTAGACCCTCCCAGTTCCCCCCGACAGAGAAGCACCATCCGCCAACAGCAACCAACATAAAACCCAACGCCAAACTGAACCTTTCCATCAAACTTTGAGCATCCACCTCTGTTGATCAGTTTCTGATCAACTACTGAACACTCCATCCTCTGCTACTGCAGCCTGAGACTCCACATTCCAACAGCAATGGCTCCGATCGCTCGTAGCGCTGTGCTTCTGCTCGTGGCCCTGTCTCTGGCCACGTCCGTCTCCGCCGTCATCAGTCCCTTCTGGGGTGGAGCGCAGCCTCTTGAGCCGGTATGTGTCATTGACTAATTTGCAACACCCTGAGCTCAGGTAAATCTGGCAATCTCACGATGATTCATTCTGCAGCGTTATCACAATCAACCCTTCTGGCGGTGTTCGCGTTTTGTCGCGTCGGTTTTCTAGCGCTTATTTCGCTCAGCACAATTACTCGCACCCATTCGCATTCAAACCGCTTAATCAATCCCAAACGCGCGGCAAGTAAATCGAACAGGTGCGCTGATCGTCTTGTGGAAGCGAGGCGATGCAGTTGCTTCGTATCTAACGCACTCACCACGTTATTATTCCCTCTTATTCTCCAAAACGCGAAACGCAAATCCTGCAGGTGGCGAAGGCGCTGATCGCCCAGTGGAACGCGGCGGCCAAGAAAACGCCTGCGCTGCTGGTGGGACCCTACGACCCCGCTGGCTCTAGCAACGGTATCAAGGGTTTCTACAACGGTACCTACCTCATTGGAGCCGCCTCCGAGCCCATCACTGCCACCGTGGAAGGGCAGAATTCCGGTGTTGGGAAAATCACTCTTCCCGTCGCCGTAGCCGCGTACAACTTCTTCGTCCATGGGCCCAGCATTGTTCTCAGCGCGGCCGACAGTTACAGCATTTACAGCGGCGGCGTAACCACTTGGGCCGGCATTCCCGCCGCGAAGGGCAAGATTACCGGCCCCATTTCGCGCTATGCGCGCTCCGACAAGGTCGGCACGACGGCCATCATCCAGCAGCTGTGGGCCAAGTCGGGCACGGGCTACTCCGGCAAGACTGACGGCTCGCCGCTGACTTTTGGGGGGCTCCTGACGGTGGCGTCGAACGCGGCGATGTGCAACGCGGTGGTGGCGAAGGTGGGCGCGATCGGGTACGCGCACGTGAGCGCGTGCGCGGCGCAGGTGAGGAACAAGAAATTCAAGAACAAGATCTCCGAGGTCGCGCTCAAGAACGCGCTCGGGCAGGCGCTCACATCCGCGACCTGGATCGCGACGAACGCGCTCAACGGCGTTACCCTCCCCGCGCCTGACGCTTCGTGGGATCAGGTGGATCTGATCTGGAAGTCGAACGCCAAGGCGCCCGCCGCTGTGTCCATGCAGTATGTGTTCGTCAAGAAGGTTCTGCCCAAGGCTGGAGGCGCCGTCGCGAAGCAGTTTCTCGTGAGCTCGCTCGCCAAGTTCACGGGCACTGCCAAAGCGAATGGGTTCAATGCGGTGCCGACCGGTTGGTTCAACCCGTCCGCTAACGCTGTCAAGGCCGTCACCGTGTCATCCTCTTAGAGCGGCGTGAAGGCGGGGTGTGGAAGGGGAGAGGAGAGGGTGGGATTCTGCTGTGTTCCCACAGTGATAGGAGGATGGGTCAGACAGGTGGATGTTCAGTCAGACTTGGGGGGTTAGTAGAGAGATAGAGGATGTGAGGGTGGGTGGTCTGTAGTACTTCATTGGGGGTGTGTGGGGGGTGCAGGAAGGGGGGTTGCAGGAAGGGAGGGGGGTGGATAGAAAGGCTAGCTGCTTGTGAAGCGGTTTCTTTGTTTGTCTTTCTATATATATATCATTGGAGGATTCCTGCACAAATTATGCTTCCCGTAAACACAACTTGCACATTCGCTTTCCTTTACTTGCTTTCCTTCATTTCCTTCATTTCCTTCATTTCCTTCCTTTCCTACCCCCGCGCGATTCATGTTCCTCTACCCTCTACTACCCCCTTCCGTCCCGGCCCCCATTCTGGCACCCGCTTGTAACCCCATCACCTTTTTCATCTCACTCACTTTGCTGACACTCTTTCAATCTGCCATCTCTTTTCATCAGTCGTCCTCCAACCGACGTACCATCCCATTTTTGTCACCCGAGGTTCACAACTCCAAATCCACCCCAAAAGATGGAGAAAAAATGGAATTAGCAATAGGTGAATAAAAACAAACAAAAACGGAACATTACGGGATAAAAATACAGCAAGATCAAAGCAACAGAGGCTGCGAAGCTTGAACCCTTCAAAGGTTGTCTTCATATGCACATGCGAAGGGCAATTCCAGAACTGACCACCTAGCTAATAAGTACAAGCCATGATGACGACATGTTGCTCTAGAGCACTCTAAGAATCCTTGCCGCCTGTGCGCAATGCATGCGAAGCAGTTGGACGGGAACGCTGTTTGCGTCCACGGTCGAATCGACGGCGATCTGCACAAGGTCGCTCTCGATCGCCAGAAGCAGTCGCTCGGCCTCTGCGACACGCAGCTGTTGCCGAACCTGGGACTCCACGTCAGTAACCATGCCGAGGTCGCTAATGCCGCTGCGCACGCGGGAAAGAAGGGCTCGGCCGGCACCAGCGATGCTCTTGCCGTTACCGGGAGCGTGATTCAGCGTGCGGCTGAAAGTGACGAGAAAATCCGCCATGGCTGCGCCGCAGGGGAGCACAGGAGTGGCGGGAGCATTTGCCGCCTCAGGACGGTTGATAGCTGCAGGTGAAGCCTCGGCCCTGATCGAGGGAAGTGCACGTGCCTTGAAGGTTCTACGTGTTAGTTGGGAGGGGGACGTTGAAGTGAACAAGCCCTTGGAGAGACCGGCGGAGGACAGGACAGCAGCTTGGTTGCATGAGAGGGCCATTGCGTAGATTAAGCGTTAGTCGAGGCCGAAAGAATCCCGAAAGGAATCGTAAGAAGGAAGTCAGGAATCTCGAGCTTTTGGGTAATGAAGAGACAGATGGGAGCTGCCATTTTATGGTAAAACGCGGGGCTGGAGAGTTGCGCGACTCGCGAGGTTAGGGGGAAAGCGTGGAGGTGCACCTGCTCCAAATTGGAAGGGCAGGTGAGTGAGTGCGAACGGTGACATGGAATTGTGCGACACGGTACAGGATTAGGGAAGGTGCTCTCTCGACAAATCAGTGTTGCGACACCCTAGATATTTAGAGGGTGTCTCATGTGACCTGGTCCGCCTCGACCCAGTCCGTCGCTAAAATGTGCATGCCTGGTCCGAGTTTTGGTCCGACGGACCCGTTTGGCAGACCAGCCGTGTACCAGAAGCGGACTGGTCCGCTTGATATGTTTCATCTTGGGCTATTCGCTGCGAATTGCAACAGTGACGACGAAAGGCACACTTGCTGAAATCGAGTTACCCTTTTCTGTGTGCCTGTTAGAAACTTCTCAGACAATCCAGCGCAAAAATCACGAGTGGTTGAAAAGTTCGCAAAACAGTTTTTGCGAAATTACTGGTTACGGACGAGAGGCGGACTGGTTTGGCGACCAATCAAAGGCACCGTTGTAGTGCCATTCGAACGCTATAACGAGAATTTAATCCCGAATCCTGGTCCAATCCGCCGCTGGTTCACGCACTAGTTCTCGAGCTGGTCCGTCGGGTCCGCGTCGGACCCACGTGGACTCGCGCATTTGAGACACGTCCTTACAACCTGCACTGTATATCCATCTAGGGGTCTGTATTTCAAGGTGCAGAAGAGGGGAGTGAGTGAACATCATGCCCGCGTCGAGATTCTTTCTGGGCTGGGCATGACTCAGCATTTCACTCCCACTTTTTGACGAGGGAAGGAGATGGCTGCGTTCTGCAGGCGCATCAGCTCTGATGCGCCTGAGGCTCGACCTGATGCGGACATTGGGACATTGAGGTTTGGGGATTGAGAAATTGGAAATTAAATGCGGACATTTCAATCTCCAATTTCGTGAAATTGGAGAAGGAAAGCGGGCTTCGTAGAAGTCAGACAGCACGTACCTGACGCTTTCGCCACACGCTTTCAGTTGCCCCATTCGAGCTGATGCGCGCATCATCCGACTTCTCGGAGTTGGATGATGCGCGCATCAATGATGCGCCAGATTGCTAGGACGAGAAATTACTGGGAATGCGGCGACATGTTAAATGTTGGTCGCCAAAAAGGCCGTCCTGCAGGCATTCGGCTTGGTTTGCCTCGGCAGCCACGCGCTTATCGCGAGCCTTGATAACCTGTCGCCAGGTTATCACGGAAGGATCCTGGAGCCATCATAAAATGTATTAATGCACATTGATGCGGGCTGATGCGCCTGCAGAACAAAGCCGATGGTTGCCTTGCTGCTGCACATACATTTCACAATTTCAGGCCTGGTGCATTCACGCTGGCGAGGCGCTGCTGGGAAATGGGTCCAGGCTGACGTGGATAATGTCAGTTGGCCGATATGGGTGAGTTGGGATTCGGGATTCTGGTTATGACATTTCAAGGAAACATAACCAATTTTCAAGTTTATTCAATGATTCTTATTGTGAGGCTACATGAACAGTTAGCAAGTTTAATCGGAGTTTTTTTACAGAAGATGAGCTTGTAATTACATATTGTAAATTATGAGCTATATGTAATTTGGTTTATTAATCTCTCTAAAAATATGCGTACCTTAGATTCAGACTAAATGCGAGCTTTATAACGGTATAAATCGGGCCAAATGTTGTTACCCAAACTTTCGTCCTGAAAATAGCAAGTGATTGAATCATATGTAGGCTTTACCCTTTCATATTTATTTTGTGACAGGTGCGCAAACACGAGGCCCATGTTATTGAATCGCTCCTACAAACTCTTGCTCTTTGTGATGGCGAGTGGAAAACGATGCGTGGGACAGAAAATTAGAGGCAATCTGGAAAATCTTGGCTGAAGGTCTGACATGATAGCCGATTGCTTCGCAGTGATTTATCGCGCCGCCATGTTTTCCTCTCAAGTTCTATACGTTCGTCCGCATATTGGGGCCACGTCACCCAGCTTCCACAATTGTCGCAGGGAATTGACGAACTCGCATAGGAAACTCAATGGCGACCGTTGCATCACATCGTCGCACGATAGACTGTCGCAGAGCTGCGATCCGCGAGTTTTCAGCCTAAGTCAAGCGCGGAAACAGGAGCCTTCCAGGAACTTGCGCCGCTCTGATCCGTCATGTGTGCAAGCGTCGCATTCACTTTCGCGAATTCCGCTGTTTTCGTGCGAGATTTGGACTTTCGCGAGGTTACCGCCATCTTCTGCCAGAACCCCAAGACGCATATGTGTGCAGGCAAACGGAGCGTCTTGTAACGAATCCGCTGATGCTGCTGCGCCGACCGAGGATACTGGAAATTTCTCGTTTCCCAAAGCACCAGTGTTTATGAAGGCGCCAGTGGTGACAGGATTCGGGCGTGGGAGTAAGCAGATGGGCATTCCAACAGGTACTAGTGCTTACCCCCACCCCCTTTTCCCCGGGTATAAAAGACAGGAAACCGACCCTGGGGGCAATTGTTTATGAGAAAGTAATGCAAACCCGTTCTTCCTTCTCACCCCCTCACCGTTCCCCTTTTCTCCATCCCATCCCCCTACCCATCCCCTTACCCATCCCCCTACCCATCCCCTTACCCATCCCCCTACCCATCCCCTTACCCATCCCCCTACCCATCCCCCTACCCATCCCCCTACCCATCCCCTTACCCATCCCCCTACCCATCCCCTTACCCATCCCCCTACCCATCCCCCTACCCATCCCCCTACCCATCCCCTTACCCATCCCCCTACCCATCCCCTTACCCATCCCCCTACCCATCCCCCTGCCGCCCCCCGGCTTCCCCATGACTCCACCCCGGTCCTCCTCCTTTATTTGTGTTTGCACTGTAGAGAATGTGTGAAGAGGGAAATGGATGGTTGTGTGTGCTGGTAGGTTGCTGTGACGTGGATTTGCAGGGAGCTCGACTTTGGTGTTGCGAGCCGCTGAGAAGGAAGGGGGGGGTAGGAGAAGGAAGAGAGGAGAGAGAGAGGGAGAGGGGGAGGAAGGGTTGATTGTAGGTGCTGGTAAGGTGGTGTGTTGTGGGCTTTGGTGATGTGCGCTGCTGAGTAAGGGGGGGTGGATAGTAGAGGGGTGATGGGCGGGATGGGGGGATGAGGGAGAGGAGCAAGAGGGCATGGGGGATGGAGGGAGGGAGGGAAAGAGGGCGAACTTGGTATTGGATACGGTAAGAGAGTGTCTTTTCTCTAAGGATTCCTGTTTCCCTGTGTACCCTGTTTCCCCCTCCCCCCTCTCCCCCTCTCCCCCCTCCCTCCTCCGTGCCCCTGCACCAGCCAACATGCTGCCAGACGTGCTGAGGGAGCAGCTAGAGGGCATGCAGCGAGGCGTGTACTTTGGATGGGCTAGACTGCCACACCTGGAGAGCAACAGGACAACGGGTGAGGGAGAGGCGGTTAAGGAAGAGGAGGGGGAAGGAAAAGCGGGGAAGGGAGGGCCTCGGGTGTTCAAGATGGTGCTGAACGTCGGCCGGCGACCCACGTTTGTTGACGGAGATGACGTCACGGTGGTACGTGATGACGTCACTGTTGTATGTGATGACGTCACTGTGGTACGTGATGACGTCACTGTGGTACGTGATGACATCACTTCTGCTGCTGCTACTGCTGCTGCAGGGTCCCCATTCTATCCTGGCAGGAGCTGCACTCTCTATCCTTGTTAGAGAGGACTTGTTGGTTTGTGAGGCGGCATGCTGCCATGCCATTCCCCAAGGATATGCATTCTCCCCATTGCCGCCATGCAGGTGCACATTCTATCCTTGTTTGAGGATAATCTATCCGAATGAGTTACCTTTCAGAATTCAAGTTTTGCTGCTATACCTTCTCCCCATGTTTCCCTACAGGAGGTGCACATTCTATCCTCGTTTGAGAATGATTTCTACGGTGAGGAGCTGCAGGTCGCTGTGCTGGGCTACATCCGCCCGGAACGAAAGTTCTCTTCACTGGGTAAGGGATCTGTATTTGCTCCCATTGCTTTTTGGCCATTAAGAAAGGTCTCCTCTCCGGGTGAGAACCAATCATGGCTCTCTCAATGCTTTTTTGTAAAAACTCTACGGCATGTTGAAGTTACTGTGCTGGGCGGGCTGCATCCGCCCAGAAAGAAAGTTCTCCTCTCTCAGTGAGAACCCATCATTGCTATATGTTGTTTGTTTGCACGTTGATATCAGTCTCTTCCTGCCTCCGCCCTTGAGAATTTTTAATCCAAACTCAGATTTCCTTGATTTTGCGTTAAGAAAGGGCGGATCCAATCTTGCACTGAAACTTCGTTCCTTTCCCCCCGCCTTCTCCTTCCCTCTTCCTTCCTCCCTCCCTTTCCCATCGCCCACTTCCCGTTCCCGTTCCCTCTTTCCCCTCCACCTTGCTCATATCGCCTCTTCATTGTTAGCTAGTGTGCTGCGTGCTTTCTTTTCCCCATTCTCTTGACCTGCTCCCTGCTACCATACTGATCCAAGCTGCACCCAACACCTCCAGTGACCTCTTGCCTTGCTTTGCACATGCACCAAAAAGAGGCTTTAAGCCCTGAGATGTCTCGAACCTGGCCCCTTATATTACGTGTCTTTCGCATGCACTCAATAGACGTTCCCACCTTGTTCTTTTGCATGAAGTTGCTCATGATTTCACAATCAGTGAAAAAGAGCAAATTCTTCCCCTCTCCCAACCCAATCCCATTCAAACGTTCCCCTTTCTGTGTGCGTAATTCCCAGATGACCTTGTTTTTCCCAACCCAGTCCCATTATATCTTCCCCCTTTTCTGCGTGCGTAATGTCCCAGATGACCTTGTATCGCAGATCAAATCGGACATTGCAGTTGCCACAGAACAGCTAGATACCGACGCATTTGCACCATATGCAAGAGACCCCTTCTTTGCATAGACATCCTCCACTCCAGTGTACAAATTACATGTTAGGGCGAGTTCATACAATTTTTAATCAGGCGAACAACTTATCAGATGTTCCTGATTCAAAGTGATAAGGTGTTTGGGTTTACTTGAATTTCAGTAAGATGCGCCGCTAGTCTGGATAAGAGGTTCGCCTGATAAGAAGCTGTAGGAACACGCCCTTATTCACGTTCTGTATGATCTGCAATATTCGCTTAACGATAAGAAAGATGTACAAAAGATGCTGAAAGAAAATATTAGCATCAACAGCAGCAGCTGCTGCCACATGTAAAAACTAGGCTTAGCTCTGCTAGTCTTGTCAGTGCATGCATGCGTCCTCATTTCTCCTTCACCTTATCATCCTCGTCAGCACTCTCCTCCCCCTCACCACCAGCCCCTTTTCCTGCCTTCCCCTTCCCCTTCCCCTTGCCTCTCCTCACAAGTCCTTCCTCCGACACTGCACGTGCCCCTGCACCCCCAGCACCCTCATTATCTCCTGCTCTCCCCTCACTACCCTCAGCAGCAGCAGCAGCGGCTGCAACTTCTGCCTCAGCAGCCGTCAGCCTGTCAGCACCAGCAGCACCATCAGCACCATCAGCAGCAGCAGCAGCAGTGAGTGCGGCTGCCTCAGGTTCCCCTCCGAACCCAAACTCGTTGACGCGCTGCTTGTCAACAGGGTAGATCCAGCGCTGGTACAGGAAGATGAGAAAGATGATGTCTGGGGGGGGGAGGGGAAGGGGACGGGGATGGCACACAAGTGGGAGGGAAAGGGAGAGGGGTTGGGGAAAGGGGCCGTTGACGCGATCCTTGTTGACGGGGTAGATCCAGCGCTGGTACAGGAAGATGAGGAAGATGATGTCTGGGGGGAGGGCAGGGGAAGAGAAAGGGGAAAGAACACAGAAAGGAGAAAGTAGGTTGGTAGGCTGCTTTGGGTGGGCGGAACAGCAGTCGTCTTATTCGGGGTGTATTTAGCGCTGGTAGAGGAAGCTGAGGAAGATGATGTCTGGGAAACGATAGGGGGCGGCTGAGGGGGAGGGGAAGGGGGGGTGGGGGAGGGGAGGTTGGGGGAGGGGGGAGGGGAGGGGTTTGGGGAAGGCAAAAAGGTCGAACTCATAGACAATGGTGTTGCGGAACATACCATCACATACAATCGCATACAATCACATACCATCACATTCCATCACATACCATCACATACCATCACATACCATCACATATATCACATAAAATCACATACCATCACATACAATCAGATACCATCGAATACCATCGCATGCAATCACCAACAGTCACTTACTATCCTTAAAGACCGACAGGCGGTGCAGCGTGGACATCTTGATGACAAGGCAAAGAGGTCATCCACGATGGTGTTGAGGCACACACCATCCCTCGCATCGCATAACATCCCACCACATACACATTACTATCACACGTACCATCCCTGGCGACGGAGAGGCGGTGCAGTGTGGGCATCTTGATGACAAAGGCAAAGAGGTCATCTACGATGGTGTTGAGGCACAAACCATCACATACCAGCATATCATGTACCATCTGTCCGCATCAAATAAGTTCACTCACAATCACATCACATACCATCTCTCGCAATCACATACCGTCTCTGAACACAGAAAGGCGGTGCAGTGTGGGCATCTTGATGACAAACGCAAAGAGGTCATCAACGATGGTGTTGAGGAACTTGTAGGTCATCTGCCTCCACGGCAGGTGCGCCACCGACTTGAGCTTGTAGTTTATGAACAGCTGCGGACACATCATGATGAAGCCTGGTGGGGGGCGTGGTATGGTATGGAAAATGGAAAAGAGGCAAAAAAGGGGTTAATGGGGTTGGAAAATCAGCCAACAAGGGCAGGTGCGCCACAGGCTAGAGCTTGTGGTTTATGAACAGCTGTGGACACATTGTGATGACGCCATGTGGTGATTATAGAAAAAACCGAAACAAACACAAAATGGGAAGGATGGGGAAAAGACAGGAGTGAGGTCCGAGAGCGTGAAAGCAAGAAAAACAGGAGGAAAGCAGGGCAAAGGCAGGAAGAGGAGGGGAAAAAAAAAAAAAAAAAACTAATGGTGTAGACGCTCACCGAAAGTGTAGACGCAACCGGTGAGAGAGTTAAGCACCCAGGAGTACCAGCTCTTGTGCGTCTCGTATATGAGCGAGTACACGGCATAGCTGGCAACGAGAGGGTAGAGTGCGTAGGAGAAGTAGCGCATGGCGAGGGCGTCGTACTCCTTGGTCTTGTTGCGCGCGTACGACTCGCGGTCCCTGAAGCGCAACCAGGGAATGGTGCCTGAACGATCAATCTGAGAGAAGGGGGTAGAGGGAGGGAGAGGGGAAGGGCATGATGAGGGGAAGGAAGGGATGCGGGGAGGGCCGGAGAGAGTGATGGAGTGTATGAGTTCTGGTCCCTGAGGCACGAGGGAGGGAGTAGGGGGAGAAGTAGCGCATGGCGAGGGCGTCGTACTCCTTGGTCTTGTTGCGCGCATACGACTCGCGGTCCCTAAACCTCACCCATGGGATGCTGCCCGAGCGATCAATCTGAAGGAGAGAGAACCGGGAGGAGGGAGGGAGGGACAAGTGAAGAGCATGATCAAGCGTTCAACCCCTGCTTTTGTACCTTCTGTTCCCTGATCCTGATGATCAGCCGGATGCAACCACCATCCTTTCCCCCTTCCCCCATCCCACTAACGGATTCCTTCACCTCCCATTCATTCCTTCGTCCCCCATTCAATCCCTAACCTCCCCATTCAACCACAGCATGGCCTTGCTGATCTTCCAGAATTCAATCCCACAGGAGATGGCAAGGTGACTTTTGAGTCGACTCAAAAGTCTCTTCCTTTTCACCCGCTCACCTCCACGTGCATGGCCTCACCTCCACGTGCATGGCCTCACCTCCACGTGCATGGCCTCACCTCAACATGCATGGCCTTGCAAATCTTCCAGAATTCAATCCCACAGGAGATGGCAGAGGAGATGAGGATGAGCCACGACGTGTTGTTGTCCAGGAGATAGAGGAAGATGATGAGCTGGCTACAACCACCACCTTCCCCTCTCCCTCCCCGTCCCACTGACCGATTCCCTCAACTTCAATTCATTCGCCCACACGCCATTCAACCCCTTTACCTCTCCATTCACCCACCCACCCCCCTCATTCACCCGCCTACCTCCCTTTTTTACCCCCTCACCTCAACATGCATGGCCTTGCCAATCTTCCAGAATTCAATCCCACAGGAGATGGCAGAGGAGATGAGGATGAGCCACGACGTGTTGTTGTCCAGGAGATAGAGGAAGATGATGAGCTGGCTACAACCACCACCTTCCCCTCTCCCTCCCCGTCCCACTGACCGATTCCCTCAACTTCAATTCATTCGCCCACACGCCATTCAACCCCTTTACCTCTCCATTCACCCACCCACCTCCCTCATTCACCCGCCTACCTCCCTTTTTTACCCCCTCACCTCAACATGCATGGCCTTGCCAATCTTCCAGAATTCAATCCCACATGAGATGGCGGAGGAGCTGAGGATGAGCCATGACGTGTTGTTGTCCAGCAGGTAGAGGAAGATGATGAGCTGGCACACGAAGTTGCTATGTTAACACCTCCCTCCCCCCTTTCACCCCCATCCCTTCGCCACACTCCCTCGCCTACCATACAATCCCCCTGTTCCTCAGTCACCCACCCACCTCCCCATGCATCTCTCTACTTCCCCACCCCTCACCTCAACATGCATGGCCTTGCCAATCTTCCAGAATTCGATCCCACAGGAGATGGCGGAGGAGATGATGATGAGCCACGACGTGTTGTTGTCCAGCAGGTAGAGGAAGATGATCAGCTGGCACACGAAATTGATCACCACTGAGCGCGCGGACAGACCCTCCATTGACTTGTTCTGGTTCCAAAACGCAATGTCTGGGGCAAGGGGAGGGATAGCGAGGAAGGGGGGGAAGGAGGAGCGGTGAGGAGGAGAGGGGAGAGGAGGAAAGGGGAGGAGGAGAGGGGAGGAGAAGGAAGGGTAGGGGAGAAAGGTATGGATGAGGAGAAGAGAGAAGCAGGTAGAGGAAGATGATAAGCTGGCACACGAAGTTGATCACCACTGAGCGCGCTGATAGCCCCTCCATTGACTTGTTCTGATTCCAGAACTGGATGTCTGGGGCAAGGGGAGGGGCGGCAGAGGGGAGGGCGGAGGGGAAGAAGGGAAAGGAGGAGTAGGAGAGGGGGAGGAGGAAAGGAAAGGAGAAGGTAGGGAAGGGGAGGGGATGCGGGGTAAGGGAAAGCAGGTACAGGAACATGATGACCTGGCACGCGAAATTGATAACTATGGTGCGAGCCGATAGGCCCTCCATTGACTTGCTCTGGTTCCAGAACTGGATGTCTGGGGTGTGGGGAGGGGCGGGGGAGAGTGGCGGGAAGGAGAGGGGGTAAGGGAAAATGAAAGCAGGTAGAGCAAGATGATGAACTGGCACACGAAACTGATCACCACTGAGCGCGTTGAAAAAACAGTGAGCTTGCAGAGCAGGCACGAGGTGGGAGAAGAAGCAGAAACGAGCTTTGCTGCCTCTCGCCAGCAGTGTGCTTACACCAAACGGCATTGCCCTTCATGTCAGACGACACTTGTTTGCTACTTCCAACGAATTATCAGTAAGCTTGAATTGCTTGAAAGAGGACGAGGAAAAAAAAAAACAAAAAACACAAAAAAAAAATCCAGTCTTTATTAAAACTAAACATAACAGCAGTTCTTGGCATGCTACTTCATAAAGGGGAAGAACGAACCGTTTTTGAAGGCGAAGAAGTCAAAGACGGAGTGCAGGAGGGACACCACCACCGTGATGCCCAGGAGAATGGGGTTGCCCTCCAGAAACACCCTCTGGCATTCAATGGCCAACCGGGAACAGAAACAGAGGATGCACAGGAGAGCAGGTGGAAGAACAAAAACTTTTTGTACTTTTCGTCAAAAGAAATGCGTAGCGAAGTTATCCTTCCACAGGTATTGAAGTAAAAGCGAGTCTATGAGAGGGAAAAATGCAGGAGAGCGACGGAGGGAGAGAGGGGGGCTGGGAGGGGGGGGTTGGGGGAAGAGCGGAAGATGGAACAATCAATTGCGCAAATTATCCAGCGAGGCAGCAGAGCACCCAACCGCACCGCTCCCCACCCACCCACGTACCCAACCACACCGTTCCCAACCCACCCACCTTGAGCTCATCAGATTCTGACTCCATGGCAGTGCCGAACTGCTGCTGCAGCTTGAAGGACTGGTCCATGGAGAGGCAGATCTGCCACCGGCAGTCAGGAAGGCAGCAGAGCACAGCACCACCCAACCGTGCCGTACCGCTCCCCACCCACTCACACACCCACCCAACCGTTTCCCACCTTGAGCTCATCAGACTCTGACTCCATGGCAGTGCCGAACTGCTGCTGCAGCTTGAAGCTCTGGTCCATGGAGAGCTAGATCTGCCACCACCACAGCGGCAGCCCAGCAGCACAGCACCCAGCTGCACTGCTCCAACCCACCCACCCATCCACTCGGACCGCTCCCAACCCACCCACCTTGAGTTCATCAGACTCGGACTCCACGGCGGTGCCGAACTGCTGCTGCAGCTTGAAGGACTGGTCCATGGAGAGGTAGATCTGCCAGCGCCACAGCGGCAGCGTCTCCACGACGAGGGAGAGCGGCACCTCGGCCACGGTGCTGTTGAGCTGCACGAGCTTGTCTTTGAGTAGCCAGAACTCGTTCATGTGCAGCGTGGGGAAGTAGTTGCCTGTGTCTGCGTCGAACGTCATGTCTGGGGGTATGGAAGGTGGGGTGGAGAGGGAGGGACGCGAGAAAAAGGGAGTCACAACAAGGGGTGAATGGAGCAAGAGAAGGAGCTGTTGAGCTGGAGGAGTTTGTCCCGCAGCAGCCAGAACTCGTTCATGTGCAGCGTGGGGAAGTAGTTGCCTGTGTCTGCGTCGAACTCCATGTCTGGGGGTATTGCAGGCGAGAGTGGGGGGGGAGGGACAAGGGGGGTAGACGAGGGGTTGAGGATTCAAAAACCCAGTGGGATAAGCGGCGACTGAAGTACGAAAACGCGTTGCTGGGTGTGCTTTGCTTGGACAACCAGAACTCGTTCACGCGGAATGACACAGGACAAATACCTGAGAGAAGCATCAGACATGTAATTCATTCAAAAGGCTGAGCAGTGACGTGAAACATGGTGGAGGTGCGGGATACGCAATGTCGACTCATGTGAAACTGTGTCTGTGCATTGAAGACTGGTGTCACTGCGGTCTGTGTGCGGCACTCACGTTTGTGGAAAATCTCGGGAATCGCTGTTCGAGGATACCTGCGGCGGGAGTAGAATGCAAAGGAAAAAGAGGGAAAGCAGAAAAATGAGGACACAGAAAAACATCTAGCTGAAAACAGTCGTCCTGGATCCACTTCCTGAACATTGCTAACACATGGTTACATCAACATGAAGGACAAACAAAGTTGCATACTCCCAACTTGCGGGCACGAAACGTCAGTCCTTACACCTTGCTTTCTTCTTCCATCCCACTCGCCATTGTCATATTATCATCGCAGGCCAGGCGAGAATCTAATGTGCACTCACGCAGTGAAGTCGTCAATGAGTGAAATGGTGAGATTCGGCTTCCAGAACCCAATCCACTCCACTTCCTCTGGAATCGCTGCTGCCGCTGCTGCTGCGTCTCCACCCTCCTCGCTCCCTGCTGCTGCCTTGGGAGATGGCGGAGGTGGCTGCAGTGAATTCGCACGCAGAGAAATCGCACACACAGAACGGGAGTCACAATGACCAATGATCAATGTGCGTGTGTGTGAGGGGTTGGGGTGGGGGGGTGGGGAGGTGGGTCAGTTTCTGGAAGCAGGACGTGCGTGTCTGTGATGGTGTCTGCATCTGTGTGCTTGTGGGCGTGTGCTACAGCCAAACCCAAACTTGTCACCTCCCATTATGCCTGCTTGCATGTGAAGTATAACTGCTGCATCTTGTAGGTACTGGTAACCAGCTGTCGCTGGGTCTAGAAAACAAGCAGCAAGATATTAGGGTCAACATACATAGTAGCCAGAGACCATTGCCAAGTAACACAAGAGGAATTGACTGACCTCGCCAGCAGTATCATTTGCATCTGACCCCCCTCCCAGAAGCCGTTTCCGTGTGTCCACCTTTGGCCGAGGATAATACGCAACTAGTGCTGCAGAGTCGACGCAGGAGAAAGGGGGGATAAACGGGTCATGGAAGCGGAATTACGAAGGCTTGGATAGAACAAGAGGTTCACATCGGATCATGTGCTGTGCTGCAACAGGATGAGAGGAGCATAGTTGGGTCCAAATTGTGGGTCCAGAAAGTGAAGAGGCGAGTGAGAAGACAATGGTCCTGTGACAGCTTACGGTGGGTCTTATTAAAGGTTGAGAATCGCTCGTAGAGCTGATCTGCTGGGTCTGGCGAGTATCCAGACTTCGCAAAGAACACATGTGCGAAGACAGTCCCATTGCCCTCCGTCACAGCCTGGAAAGACAAAAAAGAAGAAAAATGCATGTTCAGAAGAAGGAAAAAATAGGAGCTAGCAACAGAGACCTGATGCCACAGGTAGTGCGGAACTAAGAGGTCGGGAAGGGAAGCAACCAGCAAGGCTTTACGGGGTTTCAGGGTACAGGGTTCAAAATAGTGTCGGCAGGAACTACTTACAGCTTGAGGATTGCGACTAGCCTACCTTGGAAGGATAATAGGTAAACTCAAGGGTCCTTCGAGCGGCAGGAGTATCGTACATCGTGTACGGGATTCCGGACTCCGTCCATACAAGAGCCGACTCGTCTTGGAAATTGCTGAACTTGTCACCCTCTGTTATGTACACCCACATATCCTGACAGACGAGGAGAACATGCGTGAATCGACACGCATAAACTGCCCGTTAGCCACGAATTCAAGCAAAAAGAACGGTTATGAGCCGTTGATCTAAAGGAACAGTGCAGACGCAATGGACAGATCTGGATATAAGAACATGGATAGACCGCCGACTACTCCATGAGAGACCTCAGAACGAGACGAAAAGGATCGATCTACCGCGCACCTCTGAGGAACTGTGACACTCACCAGCTCCTCTCCTTTCCGAAAAAGGTTCCGAGACACCATGCCTGGATCCTTGGGTGGTTTCTTGAAAAAGAAATTGCTAATCATGTACCAGAACATAGCCATGCGAATCATGGACATGATCGGGTTCTGCTGTTGCTGCTGCTGCTGCTGGCGCTGTCCGCCTGCTGCAGCATCTCCAGCGGCAACGGCTGCTGCACCTGCCGCCGCAACAGCCACATCTTGACGAGCAGGCATGCCGACGACTCACTCTACTAGGAATCTGGGCCTAGAAGTGGCTTCGGGAAAGAAAAAAACGAGACCAACGGTGAAGATCCAGATCTGAACACCTATGTTAGGCGAATCCGCCTCTCCCGACAAACTCTTCTCAAGTCGTCAAACCACATGAAGGTGCAGCGAGCTCTCGTTGTGGTTGGGTTCGAGATGGGGTGCGGGAAGGAGGATCTCATCAATAGCACAAGTTATTTTGTGCTTTTTGTTCCAGAAACCGATCTGTCTATAAATAAAAAAATAAAAAGTTTCGAGTATGCCGAACAACTACAAATAATCCGCTAAGTTTTGTGCATTCTGTACTTCATCGACTGTTTGGGGATGTTTGCGGTGTACTGAGGCCTTTCACCCACAATTGCTGTGGGCTTTCTTGAATTCAAGCCAATCTGTCTTTTGACAACATCCCAAGCTGTCAGATTCTCCATTTCTTCCTTCCCAGTTGGACTTCATAAAGCTTTAGCGTCAAGCTGCTTCTTGGAACAAATGCTCGTTCACTCCTCCCAACGAGCAAGGGAGGAGCGAGAGCTTTATCAACGGAAGATCATCCGACATTCTTGTTGTTGTTGACCAGGCGATGTGGAGGTTTACTCGCAAACGAGAGTGCTTCAACGTCTCTGGGTCCGTCTCATTTCCGTAGATCGTTGTAGCGGCGTCATGTTCAAAACTTTTGACGTATTTTCGTTCGCCTTTCCAGGAGCTTGAAGCGACAGTGCGTCGCATCTGCTGCTCCAAGTATTCCTCTCCAGTATTCAGAAAGACAGCTGGATGATGTCAAGCATTATGACAAAGTCTTTGCTTCCGCTTGGGTCGACCATTCCACGTTTGTTATTGGGACTAAAGACAACAAACTCATTCGATGGGACACAGACTCTGGAAAGCATGTAAACATTCCTCTTCCAGATTCACCACAACCAAGGCATCGTGACCGCCAGGATAACTGTGGCATTCATTCCATGTGGGTACATACTCCGGTTTTTGTTCATGCTGCATTTATCGCTGGTAATTGCTAATAATAACTTTTCTATATATATCGTTTCAGAGCTGTCAGTCCGTCACGCACACTCTTGGCGACCGGAGGCTCAAACCCAGACGATGTCGCAATCTTTAAGTTGCCTTCGTTTGACCCTGTCGCTATTCTTCAGGTTGGTTCATCTGGCGGAATATCTGTAATCAGCATTTTGGCATATCATAACTTGGCGGCTCCAATTTATTGTGCAGAGTCACGAGAACTGGATGTTTGCTGCTGCTTGGGTTGGCGATAGTCACCTCATTACAGGTTTGCAACTATCAGTCATATACATTAGCTTTGTTTCTCGAAGTGAGCACTTTTAGACGTGAAGATTACCTATTTAACTGTATTCTCTTATGCAGGCTCCCGAGATTCCACTGTTAAGTTATGGTCGATTTGTTCGGACGAATTTTTGAACCAGTCACCTATAGTCACCCGTACGGATCATGATGACAAAGTCAGAGATCTCAAGTACTGCTTGGACACGGAAGTGGGTTGAACGGTCTGGACGACACTGCAGCACTCTGATTCTGGGGACATGAGCTAACCTGAATGTTCTGCTTGTTGCCAGACAGTAACAACTTTGAGTCAGGATGGCACGTGCAAGCTGTGGGATCCACATGAGATGCTAGTGGTAAATATTATCTTCTCTTGTGTTCCTTGTGTTGCTTTTCTTCCATGTGCTTACCTGCAGTTGTCAAAATGCATTGTCTTTGTATTGTGCTCCTGTGCAGGTGTCATCAATAAGATGCCCGGATCCAAAGGAGCTGGTTTGCATGGCTGTTAAATCTCCATTAGTGGCTGTGGGGTCTCAACGGTTTATAACATTTATAGACATGCGGTGTGGACACGTGGTGAAGTCAATAGCATCCGCCGATGAAGGATGGGGTACGTATTAGTTCTACATTGCTGAAATTTGGCACGTTTTCATATTCTGACTCCTTATTTCAGGTGTGCGGTCGTTGAGCTTCCAAGATAACGTTGTGACATGTGGAGGAGGCAAGGGTCGGCTCTCGTTTCTTGATACAAGAACGCAGAAGTATATACGAATTCGTAAGTCACGTCCTTGTGGAAATGGTTGATGGTCCTGTGCCAGCATGGGTAGCTCACCAGTTTCGTTCTCCCTTCCCCTCAGGCGAAATAAATGACAGCGGCTGTACTGGGGAGAACCACATGGACACCATATCATACTCCACAGGCACAGGACATGTGGTAAGATACAATCCAACGTAGGAGGCATGTTGATTTGATTATGACGAAGGTCACCTTACAGCTTATAATACTGTCTGTGCAGGTGAAAGACCAAGTCTATGCTGAGCACTTTGCAGGTCAAGATATAAAGCATGCTGTGTATACACACTCGCAAGACTTCAGTGGGACGTCGCTTTTGGTTGCTGGAGGCCCTCTTCCTTATGGCCTGAAAGGGAGCTATGTTGGGATTTGGTGAATGTGCTGTGTAACCATTACCTTATTTATGTCCTTGTGGTGTCGTCCTTATGTAATTTATTCTTGGAAATGCCCTTTCTTATTTTTCTGGCACCCTCCTATACTCTCGGATCAAGTTAGGCCGCAGGGTGTCAAGAGTTATCATGCTCATCCTGTACTTGCTGGGATGTGTGCATATATAGGATCGGTACGATCAAATAAATTTCTGGAAACAACTCAGTCATCAATGACTTTTGCAACAAAAGATTCAGTTGATGCAAGAAATATTCAGGGTTCTCTGGCCCTGCCTCCCATGACAGAAGCCGATGGTAGGATGCTCTCCAGGTACTCATCCACATGCACTAGACACGGCCAGTAATCAGTTCGGAACCTGATTATGGTTGATGCCGCTCCAACCTCAAGGCGCATGACCACATGGAACCGCGGCGGAATGAAAACGAGGACCTGCACGCAACCCAGGGTCCGAGCTTCAGAGCCAGCCTCAGCAGCTTTCTGACCACCTCCCACACTAACAGCTGTCAGCAGCAGCACGTCAGACACACCAACCTGGACCACCTCCGCTCCACTCTCCTCAGATGTTGAGGGTCTTCTCCCAAGCACACGTTCCCACATCTTTACAGCGCGTTTCTTGCCAACAGAAGTGTCGTCACAGGAAAGAACAACCATTTGTTTCACCCTCTCTTGTAACCATCGGCGCATCCCCCTACCCTCCACACCAACTACAAACTGGCCCAAATGCTGCTCCACCGCTTCAATCACCGCTTCCGGTGTTACAGCTACAGTGCGAACAGACTCAGGCCTTGCAGCAGGCAAGCCCTTTCCATCAAACGCTCCCACTCCCTCGTTCCCTGAACTGCTCTCACCCACAGATCCTCTATCCCTCGTCTGTTCCCTCGCTCCATCTACCACCCTTTCACTAGCAACCTCCTGCTTTGCACCTCGCTTGCTGCCAGCAAGACCCCTCAACTCTCCTCCCAGAAGCTCCCACAAAGCATCAAACAACCCCAGCACCTCACCCTCCCTACCCTCCTTCACCACTCCTCTCCCACCCCCACGTCTGCCAAACGGCCAGGGAGCAGGCATGAAGAAATCCTCTATACCGACGGGAATGCTCGCCAGCTCGCCTGTGAGTGTGCGGCCGTCCTGGCTCGTGAACGTTACGGTTACCGCCACGAGGATCGGCGCCGGCCAATGGGGCGAGAACTCAATGTCAAAGGGTGTTTGGTCTGTGACTGCTAGCAGGTGGTGTGAGGAAGAGGAGGGGTTTCTCCTGGTGAAATCCGCATTGAAAGTTTCCTCCTCCTCCTCCTGCTCTTTCTCTCCCTGCTCTTCCTCCTCCTGGGTATCTTCTCGTTTCGTTTCCCCCTCCCCTGCACCGTCATCCCCTTGTTCTGCTGTCTCCGGCCCGTTTGCTGACTCCGCCTTGCCGTCTTGTTTGAAAAGAACAATGCTCATGCTGTCCTTCGTACTGCCATCTCCCTCCACACTCTCCATCTCCTCCTCTTCATCCTTTTCCTCCTTTCCCAGAAGTTCTTCCTCACAGTACTCTTCCTCCTCTTCATCCCATTCCTCATCTTCCCATGCCTCCTCTTCTCCATCCTCCCCCGTCACCCCCTCATCCCGAGCCATCATCAGGCACGGAATCAGGCACGGCTCAATAGGTCCGGTAAACACCGAGGCTCGGAAACTCAGCTCCACAGCAAATACCCCCACCACAGCTCCCATGATCATATCAATGGCTGACGTGGCAGCAGCAGCAGGAGCAAAAGCAGAACCACCACCCATGCCACCACCCCCACCACCTTCTGTACCAGCAACCCTAGTCTGCCCCAGTGTGCTTATATCGAAGGCAAGCTCCTCTCTAGCTGTTGGCAGCAGCTTCAGCACACAGGGCACCCGTACCCAGAACCCCTCAGCCTCCTCATACCCTATAATGTCATCCTCGTTATGGTCACTGTTCTCACCTAAACCACTCTTACTGCTGCTGGTACTGGTAACCGCACGAATGATGGTCGCTGACCCTGTGTCGCCAGGCTGTCGTCGTGCCAGAGTGGCAAAATACTCGTCCAGAATGGCTGCCAGCTCAGCAGTGTGCGTGTCCAGCAAGGCAAGAGTCTGCTGACTCTGCGACCGAAACCAGCTAGAAATCTCAGCCTCCTGCTGCTGCTGCTGCTGCTTCTGCTGCTGCTGCTGCTGCTGCTGCTGCTGCAGGTGATGCAGGTTCTGTGGTGCGAATGAGTGGTGCTTAGTTGACAAAGTGAGAGACTTGAACTCATTACTGCTTGAACCAGCAGCAACAACAGCAACAGAAGCTGAAGCATGGCTAACATCCTTGACAGCACAAGCAGCAGCAGCGGCAGCCTCACCCTTTTCCGCCTCCCTTCCCTTCGCCCACTCCCCCCCAGCCCCCTTCTTGTCCGCATCTGAGGGGAACAGGACAAGCTCCCAGGAGTCTGGAACGGCCGGCGGCCGGCGCCGTTTGGCCTGTAGCACGCGTGACAGCTGCACGGGGCCTTTGGGCGGCAGACGGGGGTGAATGGGATCCAAGGGAATGGTGGCAAGAGAGGAGGAGGAGGTAGAAGTGTTGGCAGTGGTGGTGCTGCTGCTGGTGGTGGTGGTGTTGGGGTTGGTTTTTGGTGTCGACTTAAGTGGAGCGGCGGTGGTGATTGGAGCAAGATGGGAAGAAGGGAGGGATGTGGATGCAGAAGCAGAGACAGAGGAGGAGAGGGAAGAGGAGGAGGAAGAAGAAGTGGGGACGACAGATGAGATCGCTGAAGCTGGTGATGAGGACAGCAATGAAGCTGAAGAGTTAGCTGCAGCAGCAGCCAGGGCAGAAGCAGCAACAGAAGCAGACGTAGCAACAGGAGCCGAAGCAGCAACGGTAGGAGAAGCAGCAGCATCTGCAGCAGCAGCATTTGACACGAACAAATCCCCAATGGCTGAGAAAATACCCATCGGTCCCTGTCCCCCCTTGCCAGCAGCACTACCATCCGCTCCCCTGGCACTTGCGGCTGCAGCAGCGGCAGCAGCGGCATCGGATGCAGCAGCAGCGCGAGCAGCAGCGGCGGCGGCAGCAACAACGGCTTTAAGAGCCGAGGAGGAGAGCGAGGAGGAGGGTGAACTGATGACTGCAGCGATCTCTGCAAACGCTGCTGCATCTGCCATGTTCACGGACTGGGGCTGGGACGGCGGTCCTTCTGCTGTGTCCGCTAAAAGTCGATTTGCTGCTGCTCTCGCCGCCGCCGCTGCTGCTGCTGCTGCAGCTGCTGCTCCTGCTCCTGTTGCTGCTCCTCCTCCTCCCACTCCTGCTCCTGCTGCTACTGCTTCCGACGAAGTGACATCAGTTCTGGTGGTAGCCGCAGCAGCGGAAGAGGCGAGAGCAAAGAGAGCACCACCGGAAGCAGCAGAGAAATCCCCAGCGGGAGTGTGAAAGAGGGGAGGTGGAAACGGTGCGGCAGCAGCAGGAGCAGGTGCAGTGATAGGGGGACGGCCAGGGGCAGGAGGCAGGGATGGGGAGGAGGAGGAGAGGAGGAGATGACGGATGATGTGGCCTGGTGCTGATGTGATGAGACGGAGGAAGAACCTGTTGTGAGGGGGGAGGGGGAAGGGGAAGGGGAAGGGGATGGTTTTGTCAACGTGCCAGGCGCCAGATTCAGGCGGGAACGGTGACGGATGATGTGGCCTGGTGCTGATGTGATGAGGCGCAGGAAGAACCTGTTGGCATGGGGGCAGGGGATTGGGAGGGAGGTGACTTTTGAGTCGAACCTGTGGGCATGGGGGCAGGGGATTGGGAGGGGGAGGGGAAGCGAAAGGGGGAGGGAGAGGAGGAAGGACAAGGTGAAGGGGAAGGGGAAGAGGAAGGGGAAGGGGAAGGGGAAGGGGATCAAGAGATTGGTTGTGGCAAAATGTGTGATGTGATGTGATGTGATTCGATGCGATGCGATGCGATGCGATGCGATGTGACATGACGTGATGCGATGCGATGCGATGTGACATGACGTGATTTTGATGTTATGTGGTGTGGTGTCGTGTGATGTGATCACGAGGACCGAGCACCAAACACACCTTGCTCTGTCCCTGAGCGTGATATCCGGGTGGTGGAGGAGAGAGATAAACGAGAGGAGGCGGCTGTTTGCAAACCATGAACAGTGGGCACCCATTGCACCCATTGCACCCATTGCACCCATTGCACCCATTGACCAGGTTCTGCTCGCACCTGGCTCTGTCCCTCAGCGTGATGTCCGGGTGGTGGAGAGTGACAAACGAGAAGAGGCGGGTCAACGGGTCAAACGCCACGGACAAGGCATGACTTGTGAGCACAGTGCTGTGGGCAGGAAGGGGGGGAGGGGGAGAAGCAGGGCAAGGGGAATGAGAGTTGGGTGAATGAGGAGAGGCAGCTGAGTAAGTCAACCAAACGCCACTCACGAGGCACGTGCACTTCTCTTGAGAGTTGGGTCACTTCCCTTCAACGCTCAGCTCACCGGCATATGGAGAGCACTTGTGCCGTATCTTCCCATGACGCCCCCTCCCCATGTGCTGCAGCAGCACCGCCGCCACTCATACCCACACCAGACCATCTTGCCATCTCACCGGAGTCCCTCCCCCTTCCTTCCTCCCTCTCTCTTGCCTCTCCTTTCCCCTTTTCCCCTCCCCTCCTCCCTCCTTCCTTCCCTCCTCCTTTCCCGCCTCCCATCCCTCCTCTCATCCTCCTCTCCCTCTCGTTCTGCAAAAACGCGAGCAGCAGATCCACGATTGGGCCAGGTGGCACATCGGGATTGGTCGAGAGCGAGTGCAGGAGGGGGAGGTAACGTGGCACGGAGCAGAGAGAGAGAGGCACCAGGAGCGGCTGGGCCGTCAGATATCCTGCTGACCTGGCAGATCGTGCGGTGGAGGTGAATGGAGCCGGGAGGGGAGGAATCGGAGGCGGAGGAGGAGGAAGAAGAGGAGAAGGAGAGAGAGAGGAAGAAAGAGGGGAAAGGCTATAGGGATCATGGTCAGCAGAGGCAGAAAGAGAAGGATGTTGATTGCTAGTGTCTGCAGATGTGGCAGGAGGGAGGGCGGGAGATAATTGGCTAAGGAGAGGGATGAGTTGGGAGAAAAGGGTGCGGTGGAGGGCGCGGGACAGGGGGTGGTGTTGAGGGCAGTGCGCGAGACACGAGAGGAAGAAGAGGAGGTTGGGGATGTGGTCCGGCATGGCTGTGAGCGTGCTGAGCAGATAGGCTTGCACGGATGAGAGGATGGATGGGGGAGGGGCGGGAGAGGAGAGGTCAGGTGCTAAGAGTGAGTGCTGCCTGGATAGGCCTGGTTTGTTGGTCTCATGCTCTGGTGACGCGATGTTGATGGTCAAGGGGTGGGGTGGCAGTGGAAGAGAGGAAAGAGATTGGGAGGCGTGGGAGTGGGAGAAAGGTATGGAGGAAGGGAGGGAGAGGAGGGGAGGGGAAGGGAGGTGGGGGGAGGAGAGGAGGGGCGACGAGAGCAAGGGGAGGGGTGTGGCAGTAAGGAAGCAGCGGAGGGTGCGGAGGGCGAGGAGGGAATCGAGGGAGGAAGGCGGGAGGTAGTAGAAGAGAGAGAGAGCCGCCATAGACTCGTGCAGCAACTGCTGCTGCAGGCGGCTGGCGGACAGGAACGCGTCGGCAGCAGCGGAATCCCCTGATTGGCTCGCCGCAGCGGCGTCTGACGTGGCAGATGCTGACGTGGCGGATGCTGACGTGGCAGCACGTGGGATTTCGTCGAGAGCGGAGGAGCAGAGCGCAGAGGCAGCGATGCGGGCAAAGGCGAGGGTCTTGGCGGCCTTGAGGGCGAGCGGGTCGAAGAGACGAATGGAGAGAGCCACTGCTAGCTGCGCTGCTGGCAGGATGGGCCTCCTCCTGTGCTGCTGTGCGTGGGGATGTGCATGCGTGTACTGCTGTTGCTGCTGCTGCTGCTGCTGCATGTGAAGCTGCGGCTGATTGCCGGCAAAACCACCATCCCCTCCCGCTGCTGCCCCCCCGTCAACTTCCAGGGCCAGCAGCCATCTCAGTGCCAGCTGGCGCACCGCAATTGGCTGCCAGGGCTCGTGGGCCAATCGGGCCACTCGCAGCACGATAGCTCGCTTGGTGTGAGCTGGCAGGAGGTCCGGAGGTGGTGGCGGTGGTGTGATGGCAGATGAGACAAACAAAGCAGGTGGAACGGAAGGGAGTGCGGATGGCGGTCGGATAGTATTGGAGGTAGGTGGAGTGGCAGGACGGGCAGATGAAGGAATGGTGGCAACTGAAGCGCCAGAGGAGGAGGAGAGGGAGGAGGAGCGTGAGATGGTGCCTGGCGCTTGTGCAAACCCATGCGCCTGGTTGAAGCTGTGGGGTTGATTGAAGCTGTGGGAGTGGTTAAAGCTGTGAGAATGGGTGAAGCTGTGAGTGCGGCTGTGGGTGGGGGTGGAGGAGGGGGAGGAGCGAGAGGAGGAGGACGGGGAGAGGGAGGGGGATGGGGAGGAGGGGCGGGATAGGGGTGATGGTGGGGGAGGCGGGAGAGGTGGAGGGGGAGGTGGAGACAGGATGTGTTGAAGCATGTAAAGAGCTGCAGGGGGGAGGGGAGAGGGGGAGGGGGAGGGGGGGATGGAGTAAAAAAAACAAACAAACAAACAAACAAACAAACAAACAAACAAACAAACAAACCGTGGGAGGAATTGTTTTTCCTCCCGAAAGGCACAGGAGTCAAGCATGAGGAAAACAATAATTCGCGAACTTAAGGGAGCCTAGCTCTTACATGGAGCGAGCAAGGTACCTACCTGTGTGGGCTTGCAGAGCGGATGTTGCGCTTTCCAGCGATCCAATGTCTTGGAGGGCCTGTGACTTGAGAAAAGGAAGGTTCAGAGAAGCCGCCACCGCCGCCACGTCAGCGAGCACGCATGCGAGGACGGGCGGCGACGCCAGCTGGCACGCGTCTAGAAGCGCTGAGATGGCCTTGCGGATGGCACGCTGGCCTGATGTGATTGTAACGAGAGGGAGGGGTGGAAAGATGTGATTGTAATGAGAGGCGAGGGGATGGAAAATGTAATTGTAACGAGAGCCACACCGTGAGTTGCTGGAGAGGGCTTGTAAGAATGTGGTGGAGTGGAAGGAGGGGAGACCACGGAGGTGTCTCACCTTGGATTGACAAGTGCTTTGAAGGGCAAGAGAAGAAAACACTTTCTACTAAGGCTGGGCAAAAAGGAGATTGCATCTCAAATCCTGCACCAGCAAAGCAAATCCTGTCCGCACCAGCAAATCGAATCCTGCTTGCACACGCAAAGAACCTGCATTTTTCTCACAAACAATAGGTAGTTGAAATGGCACAATCTCAGGACGCGTCACAATTGAAATATCGAGGGAGGATCGCGGCTGTTCACCGACCCTGCCAGAATCGATCGGCACATCGGCGTGCCACGATTTTATGTTTGAAATCGCTGGCCTACCTCGAGTCTCAAGTGACACGATCGGAAATTTCAGAATCGATCGATGTTATGTTACCTTTGCCACGCAAAATTGCCCTATGTACACGAAATTGAACGATCGATGCGTGGCAAGGGGAACATCGATCGCCAGACTCTGAGGGGTCACGATCGTTGTCACCACACCACGCTTGAGAGTCTGGCGATCGATGTTCGTGGTGTCAACGATCGTGGAACACCACACTACGCTTCTGTGCATTTGCGAGAGATAACGGAATGTGGAAACCACTCAAAAGCGATTTAGCGAAAGTATTGTATTCGCTGCGCACCGATCCTCGATCGCTGCACAGGATCGATATTCTCATTGTGACGCGTCCTCAACTCAACCCCGCCTCCCCACTCCCTTTCTGATTCGACTCAACTTCATTCAAGAGTCGACATGCCTATTCTCACCCGCAATAGGCAGTTGGGACGGCACAATCTCAACACCCCCGACCTCCGCACCCCCTCCCCGTCCCGCACTCTCTTCCCCCTGCTGCCTTGTCAGCAAAAGCCCCCAGGGGAGAGGAAGGGAGAAGGGAGGAGGGGCGCCGGGGTCAAAGGGGAGAGCTAAGAGCGAGTCCGCTTGAGGAGGGGCGATGGTGAGAGGGCGGATTTTGAAAGAGGCAGCAGAGGCAGGGAGGGAGGAGGCTGAAGCGAGAGGAGAGGCATGTGCGTGCTGCTGCTGCTGCTGGTGCTGGTGCTGCTGGTGATGCTGATGATGCTGCTGGTGCTGGTGCTGATGCTGGTAGTGTTGGTGGTGGTGCGAATTCTGGGTGTGATGGTGGTTTGACTGGTGGTGAATGGAGGAGAAAGTGGAGGTGGATGAGGAGGGATGCAGGCGGGAAGGCGAGGGGGAAGGGGAGGGCTGGGGGGCGTGAGCAGAGGCGGAGGCGAGAGAGGAGAGGGAGGAGATGGAGGAAATGGAGGAGAAGGGAGAACCGCCTGAAGACGTTTTGGTGAGAGACTGGGCTGACCCGGCAAAAAACGTTGAGCAGAGGTTCTGAATGCGGGAGAAGGGGGAGAGCAAGGGAGGGGGGGGGGGTTGATTGGTAATATATGGAGGAGAGGGAGGAGAAAAAGTGTGAACCTCCAGAGGATGTTTTGGTGAAAGACTGGGCTGACCCGGCAAAGAAGGTTGGGCAAAATGGCTTACCTTGATAATTGCTGACAGCAGCAGCACATATCCTTGCCAGACAAAAGACCGTTCCAAGGCTAGATACGCCAGCACGTGCCCGCCATACTGCTGCAGCACACACGGGTACGCGCCCTCCAGCTCACGCATACTCACACACAGAACCACCCCCACATCATACCTTGACGATGGCTGACAGCAGCAGCACGTATCCTTGCCACACAAATGACATTTCTAGAGCCAGATAGGCCAGCACGTGCCCGCCATACTGCTGCAGCACACACGGGTAAGCACCCTCCAGCACAGCACACACCACATCCCCAGGAGGACAGGCATACCTTGACGATGGCTGACAGCAGCACCACGTATCCCTGCCACACGAACGATCTCTCTAGAGCCAGATACGCCAGCACGTGCCCGCCATACTGCTGCAGCACACACGGGTACGCGCCCTCCAGCTCACGTAGGCCGAGACACGCCGCCTGGCGGATGAAGCGGTCGGCGTGGTTTGTCCTCTTTGCGGCGAAGAGCAGCAGGTCGACGAGCGACGCGAGGAGGTCCGGAAAGAGGTCCATTGCCTCGAGCTGGGGGGAGGGGGGAGGAGGGGAGACGGCGGGGGAGAGGGAGGGAAGGAGGGAGGGAGGGAAGGAGGGAGGGAGGGAGGGAGGGAGGGAGGGAGGGAGGGAGGGAGGGAGGGAGGGAGGGAGGGAGGGAGGGAGGGAGGGAGGAACGGAGGGAGGAACGGAGAGAAGGAGGGAGACGGGTGGAAATGGGAGGTCGAGGAGGGGTGACAGTGGACGAGGGAGGCACGGAGGAGGGTTGGGTAAGGATCCCATTGCGTGGAGTCGAGGAGAGAGCGAGGAAGGAAGGGAGGGAGGGAGGAGGGAGGAGAGGAAAAAGGAGGGGCTGGGTAAACGTTAAAGTTGAGTAGCTCTGAGCCACCTGAAGAGCACGCTATATACATGCGCGGATGAAGATGGATGTGAGGGCACAAAACAACTGCGGGCTTTGCGTCGGGATTGCTTGCCTCACAGCGGGAGTGCTTGGGACACCCCATCACCGCAACAGCACGGCACGTGCCGTTTTGAGGCGCCTCAAAACTAGACATGCCTGGATGAAGACGGATGCGACTGCCGACACAATCTGCACCCGTTGACTACGGATTGCCTCACAACTGGATTGTTCTTGGCACCTCAGCAACACGGAACACACCTGGATGAAGACGGACGTAATTGCAGAGACTAGCTGCTGCCGCAGCCCACCAGGCAGCGCTGCCAATGCAGATGCCGACACCGCCTCCCCTCCTCCACCCCCACCGCTTACACCCCCACCCCTCCCACCGCCTGCCGCCGCTGCCAGCTGTGCTGCTGACGCTGACTGTGCCGATGCCAGCTTGCCTGCTGCTGCTGCTGACTGGGCTGCTGCTGACTGTGATGCAGCGGCAGTGCCTGATGTGTACGGAGAGGAAGAGGGGTGGTTGGGATGGGTGGAGAGGGATGCGGAGGCGGGGAAGGCAGGCGTGGCGGCGGAGGAGGAAGAGGAGGAGGGAGGAGGGTGGTAGTGAGTGAGCGAGGCGAGGAGGGAGAGGAGGCGTTGCAGCGTGGGACGAGCAGTCATGGCGGCTTCAAGGAGGTGAGCGGAGGGGAAGGCGAGAGACGAGAGAGTTGCACTGAAAGATCCAGTATCGCCACCACCAGCACCAGCAGCACTACCGCCACTGGCAGAGAATGTGCTTGTATTGAAGGTGGTGATGCTGGAAGGGGAGGGCAGCAGGGTGGGCAAGGGTAGGGAGAGCTCCCTTTCTCCCAGCACCAGCAGCAGCGCGTGCTCCTCCAGGAACGACAACAGCTGCGCCTGTGGTGTGGTGCGGTATGGTGGGGTGGGGTGGGGTGGGGTGAGGTGGGTTGCGGTGGGGTAGGGTGGGGTGGGTTAGAGCGTGAAGGAGGGAGGAGGAAATCATCCACGGCGAGTGAACGCGCTAACGAGTGGGAGCTGTCTCACCAGCACTCGCTCCCCAACATAGAAAATGTTTGAGAACTCTCAAACCTGACTCCAACGTTGACGGTAATCCCAAGGTCGAAGAGCACGGCGGGAGGTACAGCTGCAGCCACTGCTTCTGAACTGCCTAACCACCAAATTCAACAAAGTCAATCTCCCCTCCCCTCCCCTCCCCTCCCCTCCCCTCCCCTCCCCTCCCCTCCCCTCCCCTCCCCTCCCCTCCCCTCCCCTCCCCTCCCCTCCCCTCCCCCTCCCCCTCCCCTTACCTTGCTAGCGGCCGGCTCCCTGTCTTTGAGGATGACGGTAATCCCAAGGTCGAACAGCACGGGCGGCGGGTACAGCTGCACCCACTGGTTCTGCATCTCGCGCGATTCATTGAACTCGGACATGAGCGTCTGCCAGTCGTGCCACTGCATCCCCGAGAATGCCCTGAAATAATGTTTCCCTCCCCATTCCTCCCTTCCTCTCCCCTCCCCTCCCCTCCCAATCCTCCCCACCCCTAGAATCTACTACAAACTGTCCCCCACCCCCCACCTCTTACCTTGCTAACGGCCGGCTCGCGGTCTTTGAGAATGACGGTAATCCCAAGGTCGAACAGCACGGGCGGCGGTTATTTGAGAGTTCTCAAAACTCACTCCCCCCTTCTCCCCCCCCCCCCCCCCCCCCACCCCCTCCCCTTACCTTGCTAGCGGCCGGCTCCCTGTCTTTGAGGATGACGGTAATCCCAAGGTCGAAGAGCACGGGCGGCGGGTACAGCTGCACCCACTGGTTCTGCATCTCGTGCGATTCATTGAACTCGGACATGAGCGTCTGCCAGTCGTGCCACTGCATCCCGCCCTTTCCGCCGAACCGCGACGCCGCCGCCGCCATCGCCGCCATCGCCGCCGCTGCCATGACGGGTCGCTGAACAAACGGACGGATAGATGCGATTGGCTAAAGCCGGAGGAGTAGAGAGGGGACTAGTGGATGGATGGACGGACGGACGGATGTGTGGAGCATGATTCGCTGACGGAATCGGTGGATGCGAAGCTTTCATGCGAAAGGATCGCATGGAGCGACGGGTTACTCGGACATGCTTGCCATGACTCACGGATAAGCACTGATGCTGCAATTGGATACTCGGTCGATTGAATTTGAAGCCTGTGCTCAGGGGTCAGCATAGTCCGATCCGATACAGGGCACGATGACCAGTCAGTAAACTACCATTACATGATTGCTTGTTCTCCATGAACATACTCCATACCAGTTAACATCTACGTATGTGCATCCACAACCGTGTAAAGATAGTTTAAATGTTTTTTTTCATCAGCTAAAATAATTATTTTCATACAAATGAGCTCGTATATAACCTATACTAGTGGGTATCTTTTAAGTGGCATATTCACCTTCTTGTAAAGTTTTATTTTTTTCTACACTGTTCGTGAATGTGATTCTTTACGAAACCCCCCGCCTGGGTGTCCGTCGGAACTCCCCCTCGTTTCGTTCGTTGCCCTACCTCACTCCGCGACAGGATCCATCCAGGTCAGCAAGACCTGGAGTCGGTTCTGAGGTGATATATAGCGAACAGAGTGTGGAACTTGTCGTCCCTAAGTGCCACAGAGACTTGACTTTGCATTTCGTCTCGTTCCGTTTCGACTTACGATTCGAGTCGGATCGTATACCCTCAATCGACGATGTCACTACCTCTAGCCTTCACGAAACGCATCACCCCGCACGAATGCGCCCCATTCTATGACACGCCCTTCCCACACCACTCCATTGTGCTCCATGCGCCCATTGCTCAACTCTCACATCTTGATTTCTGATATGTTTTGACATCTTGAGGTGAGATTGGAATTCTTGGGGTGCGTCGTTCCTTATGTTAGTCCCTAGCATCGAATATTGAAGGAAGAGAAAGACGACTTTTCGACTTGCGTTCGATTCGACATTCATGCGCCACGAGAATCCCGAGTTCGATTGAAACGACAAATATGACACGTGGAGTGGGAAGCCAAAACAGCCGAGTCGCAAACACGCTGCTTTCACGTGCTGACAGCGACCAATGTCGATACCCGCACCGGCGCCCGCTTCTCAAGGCGCCTCGGAACCCTATCGGCCGACGCGATTCGAGGAGACTCCTCACAGCGCCCGTTTCTTCTCTACTTTTTTCCGACCACCTTCCTTCTCTCCGTTTTCGCACTCTCGTTGACCGCTTCTCGCGGGTTTCCGTCTGTTTTCCCCTTCTCTCCCTCCTCCTTCTCGTCTTCTCCGCCAAACCCGGCGTCGCCGACACGCGGCTAATGTCGGGCGGCTTTATCCGCGAGGCCGTTCTCTCGCACTGCCAGCCGCACGTGCCGGAATTGTCGTCTTCTGACGGCGCTGCCACCCCGCTCCCCGCCGTCCCCTTCCTCCTCTCCTCCAACTCCGTCATTCGCGGCAAATGGCGCTACCAAGACTCTCCCGCCGCCGCCGCCGCCGCCGCCGTCGCCGTCGCCGTCGCCGACGGAAACGACACTTCATCGTCGCCGGCAGCAGCAGACGGCTCGGCGGCAGGATCAGCCGGCCAGCCGGCAGTCCGGCACAAGGTCCTGACGACCGACTCGGGCGCGTTCGATTTCTGGACGGAGCACGTGGTTCCGACGGAAAACGGCACGCTGGACGTGGGCGCGCTCGTTTATATCACATCGCAGACGGAATGGGCGGAGAGTTACATGGGGACGGTGGTGGTGCGCGCGGAGGGGTATTTTTCGATGCGCGCGGGGGTGCTGTGCATGGTGGGGTGCCAGAGCCGGTTGGGGGGAGGCGGGGGGGGAGGGGAGGGGGAGGAGTCCGCGGAGGCGGAAGATCCGTACGCGGATCCGCGGAGGTGCAACATGCTGATTGTGTTGAAATTCAAGGCGAAGAACGAGGTGAGACGGTGGGGTGGGGAGTGGTGCCTGGTGGTGGAATGGTGTGGGGTGCCTAGGAGGTGAGGTGCAACATGCTGCTGGTGCTGCGGTTCAAGGCGAAGAACGAGGTATGTGATGTGCGTGGTGGGTCGCGATGCCTGGTGGTGAGATGCGGTGCTAGGTGGTGGGGTGGTGTGGGATGCGCATAGCGCCCATCAGGCAGGCAGAATGGGGCATGCGCCTTGAAGGGCCAAGGAGTTGTGGTATGCTGCTAGTGCTGCGGTTTAAGGCGAAGAACCAGCAGCGCCAGGAGCACCAGCAGCACCAGCAGCACCAGCAGCACCAGGAGCACCAGGAGCACAAGGTGTAGTGTAGGTGTGTTCCTTGCCTTTTGTCTTGCCTGTGGTGGGCTGGCGCGTGGTGGGTGGGTGTAACACTATGGCTGAATCTAACGACGAAACGAATTACTTCTGAGATTTCTAAAACACGAAACTTCCCAGAAAGCAAAAAAAACAAAACCAAAAAAAAAAAAAAAAAAACTCCAGCAATGTAAATGAGTAATCTAAAGAGGGATTGAAGGTTTTCCCAGGCAGCTTAGAGGAGCCGAGGATGAGTGTCAGAAGAACGGCCAGGAGCAGGGGAGCGCATTGCAGTGTGGTGTGGCTGCCTGGAAACTTCACCTTTGCCCTACCTATTGCTCTATGCCTCCTACCACCCTCTCTTCCCCCTCTCATCACCCCACCAGGCGGAGTGGCGGAAGAACGCCCAAGAGCAGGCGGAGGAGCGCCTGGAGCGGATTGCAGTGTGGCTTCCTGAGGGCTTCGCCTGGTATTCTCCCTCCCCCTTGCCCCTCCATCTCTCTATGTCTCTTTCCGCCCATTCCCCCCCCACACCGCCAGGCGGAGTGGCGGAAGAACGCCCAGGAGCAAGCAGTGGAGCGGTTGGAGCGGATCGCAGTGGCCAAGTTCGGGGTCAACGGGGAGGGGCAGAGCAACGCCGCTGCTGCTGCTGCTGCTGCTGCTGGCAGCAACGGTGGAGGGGAAGGAGGACAGGGAGAAGCAGGAGCAGCAGGAGGAGGAGCAGGAGCAGCAGCGGCGGCAGGAGCAGCGGCAGGAGTGGGGGTGATAGACCCACACACTCTGAAGGAACGCACGGATATCACAAAGGCGGATCTGCTGGACGAGTTGGGATCCGAGGTGGATGATACTAGCATTGTCGCTGACGTGCTTGTAATGGAGGGCACTGTAACGAGTACAATACCCGCGGAGCAGGCGGGGGAGGGGAGTGAGTTCTTTGGGCCGCTGACGGTGGCGGGGGAGACGGAATCACTCACACAGCAGGCAGAGCTCTTCGACTGGGACATGGTCGTCTCTGCTGTGCTCTCCGCCTTCCAAGCACTGGCAGTGTTTTCTCAGGTGAGCCAGTAGGGGCCTGGCGGTCTCTGGGCCGCTGGCAGTGGCGGGGGAGACAGAGTCGCTGACCCAGCAGGCGGAGCTCTTTGACTGGGACATGGTCGTCTCTGCTGTGCTCTCCGCCTTCCAAGCCCTCGCAGTCTTTTCTCAGGTGGGTCAGAAGGCAGTCACTGGGGCAGTACCAATTAACGGGGGAGACGGAGTTACTGTCTCAGCAGGCGGAGCTGTTCGATTGGGACATGGTGGTCTCGGCCATACTCTCTGGGTTTCAAGCTCTCTCAGTCTCCTTCCTTCCCTAAACCCCTGTCTTTCCTCTCCTACTCCCTCTCCTTCCTCTGGTATCCCAGCTCCCTCGAAGGTCGCCACATGGGCGGAATGGCTTCTGAACTGGCCCATGCCCTCTTATGATGACGCCTCCCATACGAGCACGTCTTCATAACACAGGCCCAGTTTGCACGAGGAGCTGAAGAAGTTTTGGACGGAGGTGGTTCTTCTTCAGCTGCTCGTGCAAACTGGGTCTGTTTTATGAAGACATGCTCGTACGGGAGGGGTCGTCTTAAGAGGACATGGGCCAGTTCAGAAGCCATTCCGGCCATGTGGGGCCACCTTCCCCCTCTCACAATGATCGCCACTCAGATCATCGTCTTCGCGTCCTTCTGGCTGCGAGACCTCTACTACCCGCTCTCCTTCCTCTCCTCAGACGTCCTCTCCTACCTCCTCACCCAACTCGCCACCCTCCCACACCTTCTCTAGCGCGTGCTCTCTTTTACCCCTCCACTTACTCACTCCTCCATCTGTTTTCCTCCCACCTTCTTCTGCTTCCACTCCCCCCACCCCAGGTCTTACATGTCCGTTCACACCCCCACGCGCACTTCACCTCGCTCACAATGATTGCAACCCAGATCATCGTATTCGCTTCCTTCTGGCTGCGAGACCTCTACTACCCGCTCTCCTTCCTCTCCTCAGACGTCCTCTCCTACCTCCTCACGCAACTCGCCACCCTCCCCCACGCCATCGAGTTCCTCACCCTCCTCCTCTACGTCCTCCTCTTTGTCTCTGTCGAAAGGAAGCGGAAACGGGCCGCATCCGCGTATGCAGCAGCAGCTAGCGGTCTCCCTGTTAGCCCCTCTTCCTCCGCTGCTATTTACGCCTCTCGGCCCGCCTTCTCGCCCTCCTCCCCCTCTTCCGCCTCCTCCCGCTCCCCTTCCTCCTCCTCCTCCTCCTTTTCCATCTCTTCTGCTTCCTCTCATCCCGGCCGAACTGCACCGAAAAGCACTCCACCTAGAATCACCGCTCCTCCGGGTGAAACCTTTGGAACCCACACCACCACCACGCACCACTCACAGCAGCAGCCGGTGCAGTTGCTACCTCCCCCGAGTGACGCCTACGTGGCGCTGACGATCATGGGCATGGTGGGGGTGGGCGGCGGCATTCTCTACGTGTGGGACGCTACAGACGTGCTGCTACAGCTCGCCCACTTCCTCTTCCTGCTGCCGCAGTCCATCGCCTTTGCCATCTGGCAACCCCCACTCGCTGCCTGCCGTGGTGTGACCCTCAAGTTTGCTGTCGGCAACTGGGCCGCTCAGGTGTGTTGGTCTAGGCCGGCAGTCCATCAGTACTGTATCGTCTTATTCCTCCCCCACACTGCTTGTGAGGCGCCTCAAAAGTCAGCTCAGGTGAGTTGGTCTAGGCCGGCAGTCCATCAGTACTGTATCGTCTTCCCCCTCCCCCACACTACTCCCTGCCCTGGCCCTGATTTTCTCTGTTTCACCTTGTCCCCTCCTCCCCCCCCTCCCCTCTCCATGGTGCCGCCCTTTTTCGCCCCTCCCCAATTCCAGCTTCTCCCCTTCCCCCTTCCCCCTTCCCCCTTCCCCCTTCCCCCTTCCCCCTTCCCCCTTCACCCTTCCCCCTTCCCCCTTCCCCCTTCCCCCTTTCCCCTTCCCCCTTCCCCCTTCCCCCTGTGATTCTTTTCCCTTTTGGCACCCCCTACACCACCACCCCCTATTTCTCATTCCCCCAGTCCATCTGACCTTCACTGCTGGCCCCCGATGCTGGGATACCACGCACTCTTCCCCTTCCTCCACACCTATCACCTCTGGTTTCGCCTCCTGCACTACTCGCCTCTCCCTCGCACCTCACCATCCCTTCTAGCCCTGTGCAGTCCATCTGGCTTCTCTTTCACTGCTGGCGCCCTCGACTGCTGGGATACCACGCACTCTTCCCCTTCCCCCACACCTATCACCTCTGGTTTCACCTCCTGCTCTACTGTCCTCTCCCTCGCACCTCACTCTCTCTTCTAACCCCTGCAGTCCATCTGGCTTCTCTTTCACTGCTGGCTCCCTCGACTACTCGAGTACGACGCACTCTTCCCCTTCCCCACGCCTGCTAACTCTAGTCCCCCCTCCCCTCCCCCTGCGCATGCCACTCTTTCTCCCTTTTCTCCCAGTCCATCTGGCTTGTCTTTGACTGCTGGCAGCCCAGGTTGCTCGGATACGACGCGCTCTTCCCCTTCCCCCACGCCTACTAACTCTACCCCCCACCCCAACCCCCCTCTCCCCCGGCGCATGCCACTCTTTCTCTTTCCCCCCCAGTCCATCTGGCTTGTATTTGACTGCTGGCGGCCCCGCCTCCTCGGATACGACGCGCTCTTCCCCTTCCCCCACGCCTACTTCTGGCCCTTCTTCATCATCATGACGTGGCACCTAGCTGTCTTCCTCACGCAGTGGAAGTTCGGACCCCTGTGTGTGACAAACACCTCGTTACACGGTTACGCGGCTGTCCCGTCGTCCAACGCGGAGGTAGACGGGGTGGGCAATGGAGCGGTGTAGGTGGTAGCTTAAACTAGCGTTTCAGCACTCCTTCATCCAAGCCCACCCCATCTCTTTCTGGGCAATGGATGAACGTCTCAAAGTTTAAGGGGTTTAAAGTGTTAGAATCTAGCAGCAGGAATGAATGAACTATGGAAGAGTTGGGTACAAGTATGAAACCCTAAAAAGGGGCTGTACCCCATATTGGCTACCCCACTACAGCCTACACATATAGAACATGCATATGCTTTGACACACCCCCATAGGCAAAGTGGGGGAGAGCAAGGGGTCACAAGACCAGTCAAGAGAAGCAAAGCAAGCTCAGGGTGGATCACAACGTCACCACACACACTGAGCACAAGCAAAGGGCCACAAGGCCAGTTCACATGCAGAGGTATATATGCAACAACAACAGCACAGTGATCTCTACCTAGCAGAGCAAGCATGCAAGTATATATAGATCACAGTACAAGCAAAGTCTACAGCAAGTAAGGAAACGTGGGCACAAGGCCTAACAAAGTGCAGAAACGCTGATGATCACCAGACGGAAGCGCCTTGGTGAATATATCAGCAGTGTTGGCCCGAGTGGCCACGTGAGCAAGACGAAGCTGACCACGCTGCTGCAACTCTCGAGCCAGGAAGTAACGCAGAGCAATGTGCTTCGTTCTGTGCTCCAGTCTGTGCTCCTGACACAAGGCAATGGCGGCCTTGTTGTCGACGTACAGCACTGGAGGAGAACGAGGCCGCTCTCCCAAGTCGGTCAGCAGGTAGGTGAGCCAGCGTAACTCCTGTGCAGCCATGGCTGTGGCGTAGATCTCAGCCTCACAACTGGAGCTGAGAACTGAAGACGAGCGCGTAGAACGCCAAGAAACCGAACCAGAGCCAAGGCTGAAGGTGTAACCCTGTCACGACCGCTGCGTAGCCTGGTCGTCAACCCAAGAAGCGTCTGAGTGCCCAGTGAGGACAACGTCGCTCCGTCCTCCAAGCACGAGCCCCATGCCCGATGTACTGCACAAGTAGCGTAGTACCCTCTTAGCAGCATCCATGTGCACCTTTCGGTGCCGACCAGGAGCCACGTAGCGAGCCAGAAGGCCAAGAGGGTACGCAAGGTCAGGACGAGTGCAGGTCATCAGGTACATGAGGCAGCCCACTAGCTCTGGGTAAGGACCACTCGGCTCTACGGACTCGTCCGAAGGTGGAGCTGAGAGCGAGTGACCTGTAGCCAGAGGAGTGTGCTGTGCCGAGGACCAGGTGAAGCCGAAGCGCTGAAGGACCTGCTGCACCATGTGTGACTGAGTCAGTGTGATGGTGCGGCGTGCTCTGTCCCGGGTGATCCGCAAGCCAAGATAGCTTGTCAGCTCACCCAGGTCTGTGCACGTGTGTCTCTTCTGCAGCTCCGACTTCACCAGGGCGAGAGCCTCAGTGTCAGCAGTGGCAAAGACCAAGTCGTCGACGTACACGAGGATGTAGAACGGCGGCAGCGAAGTGTCGGTGCGCAGAAACAGCGACGGGTTAGCAGTCGACGGAGCAAACCCAAGAGCCGCAAGTGTCGTCCTCAGTGTGTCGTGCCACTCACGTGGCGCCTGGCGGAGACCGTAGACCGGCCGCCTGAGGCTCCACTGGGTACCAGGAGGGAACGACCCAGTGAAGCCAGGTGGGCGGCGCAGCCAGATCTCCTCGTGCAGGCTGCCCTGTAAGAAGGCTGTGCTGAAGTCAAGAGAGTGAAGCTCGTAGTCACGCTGAGCGGCAACGTGCAGCAGCACCCGAAGAGTGGTCATCTTCGGGTGGGGGAGAAGGTCTGGAAGAAGTCTACTCCCTCTCGCTGACTGAAACCTCGTGCAACGTAACGCGCCTTGAAGACAGGCGGAGAACCCGGCGGCCGCTTCACCCTGAAAATCCACATGCCACTGACGATGTTCGCCCCAGGTGGGGGAACCTCGTCGACGTAAGTGCCTGTGGACTTCCAGGATGCCATCTCTGCGTCCATGGCTGTCTGCCACTGAGAGGAGTACTCACCCGCGATCGCCTCAGCGTAAGAGCACGGGGTCGGGATGTCTGGAGCATCCGGGTCTCCCTCAGGGGCAAGCAGCATGGACACGAGATGAGGCGCAGCGGCTGCAAGACACTCAAGGTCCTCCTGCCTGTCCTCAAGGACGTCCGTGCCAAGAGCACACTCACCCCCGACGGACGGAGGACAGACAGACTCAGACTCAGCAACAAGACTAGCGGCGTAGTCTAGACGACAGGCAGCAGCAAAGTCAACAAGCTCAGCTACTAAGGCAGACGCAGCAGCAGACTCAAACGACGGGTCAGTGACAACAGTGGCTAGCAGACGCGTGACAGTAGGGTGCTCAGCACGAAACTGGTCAGACTCAGGGTCCGCAAGGACAGGTAGAGAAGACGTAGGAGGAGACGGCAGAGGAACACGCTGCGAAGGAGAGGAAGGACGACGGACTACGAGGTCGGGCTGACGCGGACGAGGAACACGACGACCGAACCAACCAGAACGGACAGGCGAGACAGGACGCGACGCAGGCTCACGACGCTCAGTAAGACCCCCTGTCTGCTCAGTGTAAGGAGAAGGAGCAGGCAGCGGTGAGCCAGGCTGTAACGGAAGACCAGTAGACGAAGGGAGACTAAGAACCTGGCGAAGCACAGAGTCAGGCGGTGGCTGAGACGACGGAGACGGTGGAGCGAAGAACAGGCGCGGCTGTGCAGTGACACCAGCACCAGCAGCTCCAGTACCCCCAGCAGCTCCAGCACCTCCAGCAGTCCCTGAACCCTCAGCGCCAGCTCCTCCAGGACCAGCTCCACCAACAGGAGCACCCCTAGAACCGGCACCTCCAGTCCCAGGGTCTCCAGCCTCAGTGCCTCCAGCAGCAGCACCCTCAGGCTCAGCACCTCCAGCAGCTCCAGAACCCTCAGCGCCAGCTCCTCCAGGACCAGCTCCACCAACAGCAGCACCCCCAGAACCGGCACCTCTAGTCCCAGGGTCTCCAGCCTCAGTGCCTCCAGCAGCAGCACCCTCAGGCTCAGCACCTCCAGCCCCAGCAGCTCCAGTACCTCCAGTACGAGCACCTCCGGGACCAGCACCACTCTCAGCTCCAGTGACGGCAGCTGAAGTACCTCCAGCGGCAGAGCCCCGAGCTCCAGAAGCGCGACCCTGACGGCGACCGTACCAGTCGTGCAGTTGCTGCGAGGTGAGAGGCACACGCGGACGAAGGCGACTACTCCAAGGAAACCGCGCAACAGCAGACTCAGAACCCTCAGCGCCAGCACCCGCAGCAGCTCCAAAACCTCCAGCGCCAGCACCCTCAGCAGCTCCAGAACCTCCAGCTCCAGCGCCACCAGTGCCAGCACCTCCAGCAGCTCCAGCACCTCCAGCGCCAGCACCCTCAGCAGCTCCAGAACCTCCAGCTCCAGCGCCACCAGCGCCAGCACCTCCAGCTCCAGCACCCTCAGCAGCTCCAGAACCTCCAGCAGAAACAACTCCAGTGGCAGAGTCACTAGCTCCAGCGCCTCCCGCAGCAGGGCCCCTAGCTCCAGCAGCGCGACCCTGACGGCCAGCGTACCACTCAAGCAGCTGCTGTGGGGAGAGAGGGAGTCGACGACGAGAGTGCAGCGGCGAGGCACCAGCGGAGCGACTACGGAGACGGCCGCTCCAGGGAGACTGCTCACCAGACGCCTCAGCGCACCCAGGCTCAGCACCCCCAGACTCCTCACACCCAGGCTCAGCACCTCTAGTCTCCGCACCCCCAGGCTCCGCACCTCCAGGCTCCGCACCCCCAGGCTCAGCACCCCCAGGCTCAGCACCCCCAGGCTCCGCACCCCCAGGCTCAGCACCCCCAGCAGCAGCACCCTGAGCAGGACCACCCTCAGCAGGACCTGAGTCACCAGTGACCTCAACCTGAGGAGGAGGGTCTACCTGAGACACAACTGAAGGAGCAGGACCGGGAGCGGGGAGGGGGTATACCTGGGGAGCACCTGGAGCGAGGAAGAGTGGCGGGGGGGGGAGAGGGGCAGTGCGGTAGGGGAAGAGACGGTAAAAGGGAACCGACTCGTCGAACGTGACGTCCTGAGAGGGGAAGACACGGCGCGAGGTGGGGTGGTAAAACTGCCAACCAGGCGCGTCAGGGACAAAGCCAAGGAAGACACAGGAAACAGCGCGGGCGGAGAGCTTGTCCGCGGTGGTATCGCGGACAAAGGCACGAGCACCCCAGACCCGGAAACGCGACGCATCGCCAACCTTCCCCGTCCACAGCAGTGTGGGCGAGGTCTCCGGCAAGGAAATACGGGGCCAGAGGTTGAGCTGATGCGCGGCGTACCGGACCGCAAACGGCCACAGAAAATGGGGGGCAGCCGCATGGATCATGGAGGTACGAGCGACCTCCATGACTAAGCCAATGCGGCGCTCAGCAACCCCATTCTGCTGCGGAGAGGCCGGAAGCGTGAACGACTGGCGGATGCCGTGCTCCGCACAGTAGGCTGCCAAGAGGTCGGAGGAGAACTCACCACCTCTGTCAGAGTGCAGACGCAGGACAAGAAAGTCCAACTGGAACCGCTCGCGGAGCTGGAGACGAACAGCGCGGATCCAGGGGATCAAAACATCAGGGACCTCCCCCTTGCTGCGCAAGGGGAAGACGGTGGTGTAACGCGTGTAGTCGTCGACGACCAGCAGGAAGTACCGCTCGTGGCCCTGTCCACGGACGCGGGCTGGGCCCCACACGTCTAGGTGGAGAGTCTGCAAGGGAGCCTCTGTGGGAGGGAACGAGGAGGAGTGAGGAGCGGCGCGCTGCCGCCCCTCGACACAGGGAAGACAGGGAGGAGCAGGCGAGGGCGGTAGAGGAGGCAGAGTCTCTGGAAGTCCAGAGACAAGGAAACGGCGGTGCATGCTACGAAGGCGCTGCACCGAGGGGTGACCAAGGCGGTGGTGCCACAGGACGGTCTGGTGCGACAAAGCGCGACACAAACAGGGGGCCGCTAGCTGACCTGACGCAAACGCAGACGCAGACGCAACTACC